GTAGGCCTTTGTGATTCCCATCCCTTTACATTCGATTAATTATAGGTGCAGAGATGTGCGGAAGACAAGACGGTGTTGATAACAACGTATGAAGGGAATCACAACCACCCTCTCCCACCGGCGGCCACCGCGATGGCAAATACGACATCGGCAGCCGCAGCGATGCTTCTATCAGGTTCAACCGTGAACAGTGAAGCCTTAACAAATTCAGGTGGAGGGCACTTGTCTTCTATGCCCTACGCTTCAATGGCAACCCTATCAGCCTCTGGACCGTTCCCTACTATCACTTTGGACTTGACTCGGACCCCCAGAAGCGCGCAGCTTCACCGGTCACCGTCCAATGGGGTTACGTTTCCTCTACCGTTGCACGGTCACCCACTGCAGCAAATGGGGCAGTCTATGTTGTTTCCTCATCAGAAGCCACAGTTAGGGCAGCAACGAGAGCCTTCTATGGTGGAGACGATGAGTGCAGCCATTGCCTCCGATCCCAACTTCACTGCGGCGCTGGCGGCGGCAATCTCGTCTATCTTTGGGAGTAATGTGGATAGCGATGGTGGGAGTGGAAATGGAAATGCTATTCCCCTTCTTGGGATTTCTCCGTCGACTCAGCTTCCTCCGTCCTGCACTACATTCTCCACCAACTAGTATGCGCATTAGAACAAACAGGGGGCCTGATTTTTATATGTACAGATACAAGAGAGGAGTATAATGGCGCAACTTTATTATTTTTGAAAATAAAAGTTTACATGTAAGGAAAAGGTTATGACATATCATCAAGCTCTCAGTCTCACAGCTATACGAGGTACGTAATCCATGAAACGATTCGTGTCTATTCAATAATATTGCTACCTGATATTCTGATCTAATATTTGAGAAATATGTTTATCAATTAATAACTAGCTAACTAAAGATCTCAGCCAAAAATCCGTTTTCAAACTAAAAATACATTTCTGGTAAAAAAAAAGAAACTGAAAATACATTTAATTCCCGGTGTTTTCAAACCACATGAAACTTGCTCGGCCATTCATTAATGGAGAAGCGGCACCGCGGTGTGCGATAAACCCGGATGTGTTGCGCGCTGATAACGCGCGCATAGATCATCTTGGAGCCTTAGAGATTATTATTTTTTCTTTTAATTAAATATATCATGAAAATTCACGAGCACTGTATATACTTTGAAAACAATATATCAATTATAAAATCTTAAATCATTTTTCTGTCAGGTATGTGTTTATAATTATACTCATAAATTTATAAAAATTATGAATAATTTGCTACAATATAGTTTTATATACTACTATAATAATTACTTCGTTTTTGTGCAAGTAACTGGTATATGGCATTATCAATTAATTCATATTTGAGTATAATTTTGTTCCAAATGAGGTAACTCTCTTAAAATGATTTTTTCTCGTTGGCAAAATCTGAATCCATAACCTTATTTAAGAAGTATCTAGTCCCTTCTATTTAATCCAAATAGCAAAATAATTACTGTATCATCGTATATATGCAGGACGGATGTAATAAATGTAATCAAATTACATTTTCTTAGACACGTGATAATCATAGAGGGTCGAAAGTGTAATATTACCTCTGGTCTTTGACATGAGAATTAGGTTATTAATTTGGAGAGATTAAGAAAATTTTTAAGTTATTTATTTTTAACAAATGTGTATTAACTTTTTTAATCCAACATATCTGATCACATGCACTGAAATTATCTCTTAATTCCTTACAATTAATAAAAAAATTTGAAAAAAATTATAAATTTAAAAAACAAAATAAATTATTATTTTATATTTAGAATTAAATTTAATTTTTTGACTAGTTCTTATATTAAAAATCATAATAACCATTTGGTTTTACATTTCCTAGCAACCATCTGGGCCAACAACAAAGGGCCCATCATCAATGTGGCCCACATGACTCGGCAAGTCTGTCAAAGCGGCGAACCTCGTGTATTTTTTTTTGGGGTGGGGGGGGAACGAATGCATTCTTAGAATGGGCCCCACATATTCTATCTCGGGAGTCTTGATAAGCTCCAGAAAGCTCGTATCCGTTGGATCTGCTAACCCTTGGATAATAGAGCGCCGTTCAATTTCGAAAAAGCGAGCTGGTCGACCGTTGAGGCTGGGGTATTGCTCTCAAGTTTGAAGGTCATGACTTGACTTCTTCTTGAATGAATGAAGTAACTAAGCATATTTGCTTCAGAATCTGGGCTTGGATCTGATTATTTTCTCCAGATTTCACATAGATCATGAGACACCATGGCTGGCAGCGTCCTCTACACCCTCTACAGGTATCCCACTCCGTTCAGCTTTTTCTCTCTCGATTTAATCTTGAATCTCGCAGCCGGATTTCACTTCACAGAATACCAATTTTACTACCTGTAGCTGTAATTCATGGCATGTTGATGTAAAACGCAATTGTCTTTTTTGAACCTTTTGTGCTTTCTCAATGTAAACTTCTTTATTTGAATTGTCTTATTCCTGACCAAATGCCCGGTTGTGAAAAGCCGTGAATTTGAGCTAACGTTTGTGGCTGGAAATCTCGCAGTATGTGGGAATGGCAATTTACAGTTTCCTGGTCGCGGCCTTCTATACTTTCCTGGGGCTTTTCTTTGGAAATAGAACAGCGGAGATTGTGATGAACGTGATATATTCCTGTGTGGTAATTTACTGCACACAATTTCGGAAATGACCTTTATCTTTAACCTCAGTTTTGTTAGAACTCACATAAGACTCACCAACTGTTTTCTTTTTCCCCAGGCATTCTCCGTTATGCTTCTGTACATTAGGTGTACCGCAATTGATCCAACAGACAGAACCAGTTTTAGGAAGAAGAAAAAAGTAAAGTCTAATGGAATTTCCAAGCTAAATTATGGGTTTATGCTGGGACAGATTATCATAAGATTTTTCAGAAGGCTTGAAAGGAAGATGCTTAGGACATTCATCAAGAGGAAGTACCTAGATCCGTGGAAGACAAGTACCCAAATGGAGCCTTTGCTCCCATTTCCACTTGTCATGAAAGATGATGCCATTGCACCCAATCTGAAAGACGATGACATCTCATTTTGCTTGCTTTGTGATTTTGAGGTTTTCCAATAACTCCTTGTTGTTCGTTTTTGAAAGCTTTCCCTAATCAAACAATTTTCATTAAAGCATTCCACGAAGTAAAACTTTTTTTTAATCTGTGTCTCAGGTGAAAAAGCACAGTAAGCACTGCAGGACATGCAACCGCTGCGTTGAAGGGTTTGACCATCATTGCAGAGTGAGTACTGGCATTTGTGAATTTCTATTTTGTATGGAGGAGTAGTTCACACTTTGATTGTCGAGATATAATTGGTCTTCTTCTTCTTCTTCTTTTTCCCCTAGTGGTTGAATAACTGCGTCGGGAAGAGGAACTACACAGCATTCTTTCTTCTTATGATTTTCGTCCTGTTAATGGTCAGTGGTATAGTCTGTTTCTGTTTCAGATTAAACAATGTTTGAATTACATTGATAAAACTTCTCCTTCATCACCTGTCGCATTCACAGTTAATCATCGAAGGGGGAAGTGCAATTGCTATATTTGTCAGGTGCTTTGCAGATAAGAATGGAATAGAAAAGGAGCTTGAGAGAGAGTTTCATGTAGAGTTTCCAAGAGGAGTTCTTGCCACTATATGTGTAAGAGTCATCTGAATTTTTTTGGGGGTATTTTGGATTTTTCTACTAGAATTTCAAGTTAAATCGAACATTCCTTTTTAATTTTCTTTGAACCCCTCGCAATGCTACAGGTTTTGCTAGTTTTACTGACAGCTTATAGTTCAGCAGCACTGGGACAACTTTTCTTCTTTCATCTGGTTCTGATACGAAAGGTGGTTTTCTTTCTTTAACTGAGTACTGACTCTCTAATAAGCTAAAAACAATACATACTTATTCTCTTAATAGAATGTTCTTCCTGTTGACCCGTTCAGTGTTTGATGTTGTAGGGAATGAGAACCTATGACTACATCCTGGCAATGAAAGAACAGAACCAAGTCCTGGAACTAGATTCAATGGATGATTCTGATTTCTCTTCAGACGAGAGCATTGATTTTGATTCCCCTGAAAAGCCAACTGTGATGTCGAGGGTTCTATGCAAAGGGCAGCGAATGAATCAGGTAGGTAATCAGATAGCCTACATTAGTCTTCCTTATTTTTCTGTAATCCTGATTCCTCCTAACAGAATAGCCCATGCTAAATTTCAGGGTTCCCGTAGATTGTCTGCGAGAATTGAAGGAGAAACTGAAACTAAACCGAGTTTCCATGTCAACATAAACCCATGGAAACTCATAAAGCTGACCAAAGAGAAGGCCCTACTAGCAACCGAGAAGGCCAGAGAAAGGCTTGCGAAAGAAAAGTCACTTGGGGTGCAAAATCCATTGAAACCCTTACCTCTGGAGACAAAACACGGCCCATTGATGCACGCGGATCAAAGTATGGGTAACATGGGGTCTGATTCTAGTCCTTTCATGTTTAAGGGTAGGGTTCCAGGATCACCAGGCAGGTTGTCAAGCCCAAGAAGGAGACTTTCTGGGTCAGCGACAGCCTTTAACATACTGGCTTCTCCCCAGTACAAATACAGGAGCAGTTTTGATTTGAAGTTAACAAGTGTATCGCGACAGCTTGAAACACACATTTCAAAGCAGGTTCTATGCTCGGTTATAAGCAAGGATGGAAGTGAACCATCCCCAGTATAGATAGTGTATTTTGAAAGTTTGTTCTCAGCTTTTGAGAAAGATCCATTGATATGTTCATTATTATAATTTATACATGGGGTAATTCTGGTCATTGCAAGTGCTAGTGTATGTTCCATTGTATCAATTCACTGTAATGTCAAGGTAATCTTGTCATCTTCACTTCACATCTTTAAAATCTTTCTAAAACTTCGCTTTTGGATCCCTATCTTAAGCTAGGCTTTGTGTAATTGCTGTGCCTTCCTCCGTTTTCTAGAGAATAATGAACAACTAACAATAATTATTGTCAAAAAAGCCAAGAAGCACCCGCCTCGGTCTTCCGCGGCGAATTCTCCAATATCCTCGAATCAATGGAAGCATACAATTTTCAATATTTTTTCTTTTTTTTTTTTTGGGGGGGGGGGGGGGGAGGCATATGCAGCTAGAAACGCAATACATATAAAAACAAATCATTCACTTCCTATTTCCGACACATCACTCAATTATTGTCACTGCACACAAGTTACAAGAAACAATCATCTCTCAAGTATTATCATTTCGCAGATCCATAACCAACCACAGATCAGCAACTCCAATCAACTCATGTCAGGAGAAATTTTTCCTGTTGAAAAAAGGCAGCAATCAAATTTCAGTTGTAAGTGAACTGTCATAGCAAATGCTATAAATTTCCTTAATTTTACCCAGACATCAACCAAGCACCTCTATGTTCATTACTCGTACTCCGCAAGTGACTTGACAAATAATAACAGTCTGAACAATGCTCAGGGAATATTCTGCCCTTGAGAGGTTCACAGGTTTTTGGGGAGACCAAGTCAGAGTATCCTTGAACGTAAGAGCAGTTCCATGGATATCTTGAGCTCACGTTGAGAGTAATGTTGAATAAGCAGATGTTCATAAAGTGGTCTTCTTTTATACCCTCCATGAGGCCTGCGCGTTCAATCTGTTCTCCTGTCACGTCCTTGATAGTGATCCTTTCTATGACAGGAAGAGCATTTGGATCAAAAGAGTCATCGGGGTGATCCCCATATAGACCAGTGAATCTGATAGCGATGTCTACTTTAGACAAGGTCATGTTAGAAATGTACACGTTTCTAACATAACCCCCTCTTCCAGGAGATGTTTTTATTCTGATTGCATTGTAAGAGCTGAAAAAATGAATGTTTTCTGCATGAACATCTGATACACCTCCAGACATTTCGCTTCCGATAGCAATCCCTGCACTTGTTTGAGTTTTTCCAATGAGCCTGTTAATGATTATGTCCCTGCTGGGACGGCCAAATGAAATGCCATACTCATCCCACCCACTTTTGATTGCTATCAGATCATCACCAGTGCTTATATAACAGTCCTCAATGCATACATGATCAGAAGAATCTGCACACATTTAAAATTGTAAGAATTCTTCCATATCTTTGCGTAGTAATAAGATAAAATGGAAGGGACAAGATCTGTCTGCCGTATTTTACACAATATTTCATTTTCTTTTAATCATATTATATGAATAACTAGCATTTTTCTTCCTAAATTGCCCAAATCTAGACCAATGTGCAGCTCATGTGAAATTTTCTCTTCATGACAGATATCCACATCCAAGCATATTTTTTTCGTCTTGAACATCCAAGCTATATCAACCACTGGACTTTAGGATTTTGGTTTGACAACTTGTCAGCTGACAATTATATAAAGGATAATACTTTGGAGCACAGGGAAGTAGAACTCACCCGGATCAATCCCGTCTGTATTTGGCGAATCAAGGGGAGCAATGATCGTGACACTCCGAATTGTAACTTGGCTGTTCATCCAGAAAAACAGTCTCATATTCCCCCCCAATAATGAAAGCTTTACTATTGCACATTTTTAAAATGCTAACGAATAAACCGAAGTTCAGCAAATCAGGAAGGAAACCTAAACTCAGTCCTTCTATGCACAAACCTGCAATATACTGGGTGAATTGTCCAGAACGGTGAATTCAAGAAGGTTAAATTAGATATAAGAACTCCAGTTGAATTCATCAACTCCACCAAATGAGGACGTGTATAATCCAAGGTTTTGCTCCAAAAGCTGTTCCACCAGCTACTGCCTTGACCGTCTATAGTTCCATTATTACCTTTATTGTTGTATCAATGATACCAGAGAACCATAACCACACACATATTAGGATGATAAATGTTGGGCAAGGGTCCTCTTTCTTTATCTTTTGGTAGAGAAGAATGTTAAAATGAGTATATGCTAACCTGTTATGATGACATCAGTCAAATTGCGGCCATATATGAGGGCTTTATGCCTTCCACCTGGTAACTCTCTCCCTCGGCCATAGGATGGGAGCGGGTCAACAACTGGCCAATCCTTAAAGTCCTGTAACAAGCAGGATATGCCATTCAGCTCCTGTCTATTACAATAACATAGCTTGCTCAAAGATTAATATTAGCATGAAACGGAGCTTGTTAGCATTGTATCCATGCTTGAAGATAACTTCTACTTTCGATTTTCTTAGAAGAAGCTTGCGCAACAAAGGCGAGTTGTAGTTATACTAAATTAAACTTCCTTTTTCCTGCATCGCATCATGTTATTATTTACAAAGTGTGACCTACCGTTGATCCAAGAATCACAGCATCACTGTCCAACCACAGAGTTAGGTGGCTGATGAGATCAAAACTACCAGTTAACCACCGACCAGCAGGGACAAAGAGCTTGGCTCCGCCTTTGTCAGCAAATGAATTTAGGTAGAAGATGGCATTCTGAAATGCTTTTGTATTGAGAGTGACGCCATCTCCTACGGCCCCAAATTCGGTGATGCTGACACTGTGAGGTCGAAGCTCCTCTGAGTTCGTATGCTTGCAACGTGAGCTGCTCCACACTGTCCATGAGCTGCAACTGATGAACAATGCAAGTACCAGAAGCACATTCGCCAGCTGAAACACAAATGTTCCACCATCAGTCATTCTCTCTGGCTGGGGATCTTAAGGGGACGGAGAGAAGATGTGAATAGTAGCTTAAACAATATGGTCCGACCTAGACAGAATTGCTCACAGTAATCAGGTGATATCCCAAATCAAAGGGTTAAAAATCTGTGCCGATCAGCTACATTTTGCCAGAAAGTTAATGAAGCAAGAAAATCTCTCAAAAGAGCAAAAGCAGAGAAATAATCATCACCTAGTTTTCCACTATGCTAACCCAGATCTTTACAGAACTTAGTTATTACAAATACTTTCAAAGTCGGTGTTCATGTATTTTGATCTTCCTCCAAAAATTCTGCTTTAGATCTTACTGCACTACCAAGCTTTGCAGGAAGTAACGGAGAATGTAGAAAGATCAGGAGGGGGAGGGAGCAGGAAATTATAGAAGAACTTACTCTTGAAGGTCTGCTCATATGACTAGGATCCGGCTTTCCTTTTTGCCCCAAAAACCTGACCAGATAGCTTTTTTCAGCAGCCTCCAAAACCGCCCCCTCGTGAAAAAGGGCTGGAGGCAAGAGAGAGCCCGGAAAGAAGGGTAAAGCAGGAGAAGTGGAACAAGAGGTATAGCTTATGATCGAATTTCCCAGGAAGACAACAATATGCAGGTGTGATTAGATGGGTCATTGAGATAGCCACCACCACAACCAAGTAAAATCATTGAATGTTACTGTTCCTGCCCGCCAAAAATCTAGCAGTAGGACCCCCTTTTGCTTCTAAACACCTTCACTATGTCCCTCCCCTCGCTTTCTTTCTCTATCATACTCTGTCTTCTTCCTTATGCCTCTGTCTCCGAAAATGGAAGAAACCCAGAAAGCTAACAACTCTGAAAGAAGGGGCAGCAGCACAATGATTCTCAAAATGGAACTTCTACGGTATGAACCCCTAAGCTGCCAATTTCCCCATCACTGACAGTGACTTTCGATTCTGGGAGGCAATCTCAGGTTGTAAGGTAAAAGGCTTACACTGAATTTAGCTTTGCATGGAGCAACCTGTCTCTCTGTCTCTCCCTTTAATTTTTTTTTTTCCAATCCAATCTCTAGCTCGTAAACTCCGTCGAGACTACTTTCACTGCTAATCATTTGCGCCAGCGGGTCTATCTATCCTTTTCAAACTGTAATGTAATCTTTATTGATTTTATTTTTCTTCTCAGAGTATTATTGGGGGGTTGAATTATTTTTCACCTTGAGTAAATCTTAACGCTAACAAACGAAAACGCATCAAGGGATCAAAAACTGTCAGGAACAGTAGGGAAGAGACAAATAAAACCGTAAAAAGTGAGACCGGTTTCTGATCATGGGGAAGTGGAAGTGTCAGGGAAGTCATATGATTCACAAGACTTGATCAATGAAACGTCGTCGTGTACCTACGAAACGGCTGTTATTTTCCGGTATCTGTCGACGGGTGACTGAAACGATGCTGGCAAATTTTTTTTTAATAAAAAAACTAAATGGAAACTTGGGGTTTAATCTGTGATTGGACCGAATTTAACGTCGTCGTATATTGGCCAACCAGTGAATAATAAATGACATTTGGATTCGTCGTTTACGGTCGTCTTCATCCCCAGAGGATAAAAAAACAATTCACTTCCGTTTGACACAGTTTACAGATCATGGATCGTGGGCATTTCCCTCCAGGCAGCCAAAGCAAGCCATTCGTTTATTCATGAATAAAAATAAAATTTCCGAAATTGCATATTATTTTTAGCACTGTGCATATATCATTTAACTATATCTCAGGACAAGATTGGGTGGTCACCATAATCATGACGTTAGCATACAACGTTCTTACTCGTGTTCGCCAAAAGTTGCTCCTTCCCATGAGACTCTCATTTTTTTGTTGCTAGGGAGAGGAGTAAAATTGTTCCGTAGTAAACTATTCTTACCTCCAATTCTTGACATGAGAGTTGGTTTATTTTTTAATTTGATTCTAAATATAAGGTTCTAATTTATTTTGTTTATCGTATTTATCTATTTTTCTCAAAATAATCCTTATAATAATTATACATATTAAATGTTTCATCAAATGATAATTATAGCCAATACGCATAATTAGTGATGATATTTTAGAAAAAATAATACCTATTTATTACAAATAATTAACTTAACTAATTTTATTAATATACTCAAATTAGTCAATTAGTTTTTATATTAATAACAAAAAACAATATGAACTAGACTAGTCTCTCAGTGACCCGGAAGAAATTAGGGGGCAAAAAGATTTCAAACTAAAACGATGCATTTGTAAACCTGATAATTTTTATTTATCATCATCACAAACGAAAAGATAATTGAAAATTGCTTTCATCACATACTACACGGTGGTCTAAATTTTAAAGAATTCATATCTATTCTATAAATAAAGACTTCCTCATTGCGATTTGAACCACTTAATGTTAATTCATTCAATCACATTGTGAGATGCGACCAAGCTGCGGAATAAGTTGCCAGCTACCATTGCACAATCCCATGACTCAAATTTACAAGGCTCAAGTTGTGACCAAGCTGTGGAATTATTGAAAAGCGGAACTCACTTGTAAGGTTAAGACGGAACTAAAATTAGCAGAGTCGGGAGGACCCGCCAGGGGGGGTGGGAGTGAGAAATGTGAGAAAAGCACAAACACAAGTCCTAGAATTGAACTTCAATCAAACGGAGCGCAGTATGAGCGTGGATTAAGGACCCAAAAAGGCCGCCAAAATGCTTTTAAGTAAGAAAAGTGAAGGCTTATATTGGATTTTGGAGTGAAATATTTCATCAACTCATGGTACTAATGGTCGATTATTAAGGAAAAATATGTCTACGAAAAGGGGGATAAGGTTCGAGAACAGACAACATCAGAGACACAAAGTAAGGTCATAACCCCATTCTCTGTCATGTGCAACATCCTGAAGTTAAGGTTTCAGAGTCAGGTATCCTATGCGCAATCATCAGTTAAACAGTTCAATTGGCTGCAACTTTCAATTACATGGTTTCATAAATTATTATTTTCCAACCTTGATTTGGATTGTTGACCTGGGAATGACTTTTTGCTTTTGTTACGTTAATTGGGACATGGGATCAGAACAATCATAATGCCAGCTAGTTTTCTGGGTTTTCCTGTCTTCCTTTGTTTTGAAACAAGCTCTCCTGACATTGTTTAACTTAATGCATGATTAATAATGATGACATTTGAGCATAATGAATACGATTGCTGACAAAATGAAGGATCACACCTAATCCAATCTCATTCTGTCTCTCAGCTCCCCACAAATTTTGCTCCCTCATTGTCATATCCTTCCTCAGGCAGGATCGGTATAAAATAAAGTCTACAAAATCAATGGATTTTTAGTTTTTACTACCATCTGCATAGCCTGTATATACAGGTCCCCCCCCCCCCCCCCCCCGCCAAAAAATTCAGTGGGCTTTTTAACCACAACAAGTGTGAACTAAGTAGAAGCTTCGTGGAGATGGATCACACCCAGCAATAATGTTAATAACAACATGACCTCCGTGCACTAATAACAACATAAACGATGGAGGATGCATCGCTACATCAACTCGTCTTTCTTGATAACGTTTCGTGCCCAGTAAACTAATTTTACAGAGGGCTGTTGTTTTTCCCCAAAAAGAAAAAAAAAACTCTAACCTGGCTCTTTTTCATAAAGAGGAAGACGAAGGTCCACCATATGTTCACTTTGGACTTCGATCCCATGGCATATCCATCTCTCTGAAGGATTGCATTATTCATGTTATGAACACTTATTGACTTATTTTATTAATTTTCATGTTTTTTTTTTTTTTTCAGTTCTATCTGTGCTTTCTTCTGTACGCTATTTTCTCATTCATTTTTTATGTGTTTCGATGTAATTTAAACCGGAAAGAAAAGTAGTACCTCTCCGCTGCTTAATATAGAATCTAATTGTTGAATTGATTTTAGTTCTAAATATAGAACTTATTTCTTATATTTATCAATTTTTCCTAAGTCACTCCTGTAGATACTCCCTCAACCATAATAAAATAAAAAAGGGAGAGAAAATATTAAAGAAGATGATTATGATGTTTTTCTTATTTTTTATAATTAATTAATTTACCTAACTTCATTAATATAATCAAATTAGTTAAATAAGTTTTATGCTAAGAATCGGAGGAGTATAATCTATGAAATAGACAAGACACGCCTTAGTTTGATGAAGGAAAGGGCATCCTATATGGAGAAACATCTCAATCGTCTGTGGAGATGAAAAAATTCATCAACACGTTATAAATTCGTCCAAGATTACTTTTCAGACATTCTTAATTTAAAGTATGAAAAAAAAAATCAATATCATTATATAAATCACCAATATCAAAACAAATAAGCCAAAAATTGACATCTTTTACAAGGAGTGGTTTATCTTCCACTCTTGTAAGAAGATTAAATGAGCTATCTTAACATTTATTTATAGCATTGTTAAGTTCTTAAAAACAAACTCTTTTCTAAAAACAATTCATGATTTTTAAATTTATTTATCTCTGGATAAGAACAAATTTAGTTTCTTATTATAAAATAACAAATATTTTTCAGGCAAAAAATATTTAATTTAATGGAAATCATATTACATTTTAATTATTATAAACTTTTTTTATACTACTTCTAATTCTAATTATAATACTTTGTTTTTAAATTACAAATGAGATCTTATAATTAAAACCAGGTAGCATTGTATTATTTAACTTTAATCCAATTGTTTGGCTCATTTTTTTAATAAAAAATTAATTGACTGGTTTTATTATTTAACTTCATTTTTTTAAGTAGAAAGGGGCAGCTAGCCCTAACAACGCGCCGCCGTCTGTGTCTTAGTCTGGCTCTCAGGGATCGCCTCTCTCTCTTCTTCCTTCATCACCACCAGCCTGTCACAGCGTCACTTATCTCCCTCTCATTCTCACACAGTCGGCCTCTCGAACTCGAAGGCTGAAGCCTCACTCTACAGTCTCCCCGGCGGCACGGACCACCCTCCACTCGGCCACTACAGGCTTCTAGCCGTCTCCTCAGTCCTCAGTTGGTCAGTCCTCAATCTGCTCGTGGTCTCCTCTCTCCATCGACTTGGACTGAGTCTCTCCTCAGTGAATCTCCATCAAGTTTTTGGAGATTCAGTTTCTGCACTTCAATTCGTGTTTTTCTTAGGGTTTCTTCCGGCGTTTGCTTCAATTTCAGAAAGGACTCGCAATTTCCCTATTCCTTCCTTCGATTCACCATTTCTCGCTCTCAATTCTCTCATGACCCTCGCTCTGCTCTTCGTGGCTTCCTTTACGAAGTAAGTTTTCCGGTTCTGGCCATTCACTTTGCTCCGTTATTTTAGTTCATGGTTGTTACTGGCTTGCCAGTTTTATAATTGACGGAGGACACTAATTTTTTTTCTATACATTGCTTCTGGAGTTTTTATTTGGGTTGGGTTGGGGGGGGGGTAGTCCTGCTTAGAATGGGCCAGCCCTGTCGAGCGGGCCAATACGGGCTAATCCATTCTATCGCGTGAATGCTCAGGCTCCAAAAGAGCCACCGCGCGTGCGGCACACCCTATATTTGAGAAATTCACTCATGTTGGAATATGAAACAGGCTCTTTGGTTAGTTGCTTTCTGGATAATGAATCCTGAACTGCTTCATGATTTATTATATCATCGTATTGCCATTGATTAAAATAAGTTTGGAAATGCTAAATGAAACATAACCTATGATGAGTTCAGAGGACATCATATTGGCGAGGGAGGGTTGGTAAAGCTTCAGCAGATTGTTGGTTACTAATTTTTTCTGCTTTTTTTAAGAGCGCTGATCTCATGGTCCAACCATGGTCAGACGTCTTACCGATGACCTGATTTCTTTTCATTTCACTTAATGTTTCTGATTTGCTTTGGTCTTATTCTAAACCTAGGGAGCGTGAGGGATAGACCATGCCTCGTAAAACTAGTTGCAGAGCTTCAAAGAAGCCTGGAAATGACTCAAATTTAACCTTTCCTTCTTCTGAAAAAGAGTATGTGGTCATTTTTTGAAGTAATATTCTATTGTACGATTCTACTAGTAGTTTGCTGTACTTATAATGGGTTTTGACATTTTATCCATTGTTTTGCTGCTGCTGTTGTCATTCTCCAGCAGCTGCTATGAAGGAGAGCGTCTCACCAATCTGTTGCAGTTGATTCATAGGTAGCATTTTTCTACATGCTTTGCTTCATATTTTGATTCCAGTTATATTCATAAAATAATAGTATGTGTAATTAATCTGCAAGCATCATTTGCTTAATGATGTTCTTCAATGAAGTGGAATGAATATTCAACAATTTGTGGACTGAACTGCATTTCTAATCGATTAATTATCAATTGACATGCTTTATTCTATTGATTTTTTAAAAATGAACATTCTGGTGGACAGGGAGATCGGATCAGCAAGAACAGCTGATGGAAATTCTTTACCAGAGAAAATATGGTTAAAGGTATAACTTCCAATTACTTTAGGCGAGCTGCTGAGAGCTATGAGCAATATTGGAATGAAATTTGTATAGATATATAACCTTGTTGTGATTCCGCCAGCAAAAATTTTCTGTGGGCGTCAATGATGTAACTCGTGTTCTTGAGCGCATGCCACCTTGCACTGAATCACGAAGCTCTTCTCAGCTCTCTCCTTTAATCAGCTGCAACAATAGAACATCTTCAGTCAAACTTCAGGTTGGTCACCTCTGTTTTTCAAATTTATAATCAATTTATTTATTTTTGGTTATTTTCTCGTATATAGCGCATGTTGTCCTTTCAGTAAGCAATGGCGATATATATATATATATATATATATTTTTTTTTTTTGGCTGGAAGCAACCGCGTTATTAACCCGTTCATTTATCCCATTATGGAATGTCACTGGGGCAACCTATATTTTAATTGCACATTTTAATTCTCTTAGTTGACCCTTTTTAAGCATGGGTAACTCATTGGTATTAATGCATCTATCACTCATGATCAAATATGACCTTTGTTCTGGCAAAAGTGGTATGTTATTTTGACTTGATTTTTACAGAAGCCAAAAATAGACATCGCATTCTGTTGTGCAGGTTGTGCTAGTAGCTTCTGACTGTAACCCGCGATGGCTGATAAAACATTTGCCAAGCTTGGCTTCTTCAAGGAAAGTGCCCCTGATCTTCGTTAGAGATAACAAGAAAGGTTCTTTGAGATTAGGCGAACTTGTGAATCTGAGAACTGCTATTGCTGTTGGTATTAAGGTGATGGCCCTCTTCCTACACTATTTAGATTTTGCTCCTATGTCATGATGTTGTTAGATATAAAATTATTTCTCTTACAATGGACGCAGGCAAGAGAAAACAGGATCAACAAACTCTTGGAGAAAATCATTCAACAGGATGGAGTTGAACCTGATTGTCCAAAATCAGCTGAAACATCTGATGCACGTGATGTCCAAGAGCCTGACGTAAAAGTTGACATGCCTTAGACCCAGCCGAATTCATGTTCAGAGAATCAAATTTGTCTACGTTTTAGTCAGTAAATTTTTTTTTTTTTGGGGGGGGGGGGGAGGGGTTCCAACCGGAGTTGTAGATTGTGGTGCAAGTGGCCTTTTCTTTTCGTTGTTTTAAATTAAATGGCAGAAAGCTTTGTATATTGAGATGGGCCCCAAAACGGACTCCATTTTTAAGCATTTTTATAATCTCTTTATATGCTATTTTGTGAGGTGCCTTTGTGCAAACTTTACATTCAATGTTCGACCAGCCTAGCTATCAGAAATCTACTTCACAGTAACAAGCTTCAAAGAGCTTCACAAGTAGTTCCAGTCCATTAGACGCCTCAATGGAAACCCCGGATCTGGATGCATGTCTTCCGTTCGCATAGGAACTGCCCCGCTGTCGAAGGCTATGCGGTGCTTACTGGATCAGGGTTAGTATTTCCCCGGCTGCGTGCTTTAGGTTTACCTGATTTTTCTTTCTCCATTTTTTCCTGATCTTGCTTGATCAGCACTGGTTGGAACTGCCAAAATTAGAAAAGAAAATTAGGAAAATGGAAAAACCTTGGTTAATAAATTGTAACAAGGCGGAAAAACCTGGAGCGCTTAAAACTATCAAAATTCACACTTGCCTGGTATATAGAATATATAACGTTCCTTCTTATCTGCGCCATCATCTCCAAGAAAAGGTTGTAACCCTCAAGCTTATACTCAATGAGTGGATCCCGTTGCGCATATCCACGTAAACCTACAGCTTGCTGCACAAATTTAAGTGCTTGCAAGTGTTCCTTCCACAAGCGATCAATGTTGCTCAATATAAGGAAACGCTCAGCTTCTTTCATCAGCCCGGGTGCTTGTTCCTCCACAATTTCCTGTGGCAGCATTTGAAAAGTTAAGGGCGAAATGGGGTAAATTTCTTTTACATAACAATTGATGGGCTGATCATTATCCCAACTAAATTTGGTAATCGAATAAACTCACCCTTTTCTGCAAATAGGCTTCACGGCCGCGAAGTCGCAGATAATTCTGTAGTTCCTCATAATCTGAACAGTTGCTTGTTAGCAAATCAGGGCTCAGATCATTTAGCAGGTAGCAATATCTGAATATTTATCTCCGTTAGTAATCTACTAGCCAGATTAAACACATCATTAGCCAAGCTAGGAGCTACTATGGAGCACTACAGGTTTCCCAACCGAAGATGATTAAACAAATCGATCATACGTGAATATGCCTAAAAGGGGAGAATCGAAGTTCCTCAAATGAACAGGGAAGGAAGGTTCGACTTACTGCTGAATCTTGGCAATGAGTTTCTCAAGATCCCAGCTCTCTTTTGGAGCATCGGAACCAACGTTGGCCTGACTCAACACAAGAATACAGATCTTAGAACTATTCCAGATCTGGGATGTAATAACGGTACAACTCCATGGGCGTGCAATAATGGTTAGAGCAAAACGTACCTCTAAAATGTCATCCATCGTCAGTTCTGCATATTCAATAATAAGAGATTGGAGATCCTCGGATTGAAGGGCTCGCCTTCTTTCGGTATAAACACGGTCTCTTTGGCTGTTAAGGACTTCATCATACTCAAACAATTGCTTCCGAATATCAAAGAAATAGTTCTCCACTTTCCTTTGAGCTTCATCCAATGCTTTGGTCAGCATCTTGGACTCAATAGGCAGGTCTTCAACTCTGAAAGCTCGCATTAAACCCTTCAAATCACAATATTGAAAATGTCTTAGCAATCAGATCAAAGGTAGCAGCAAAAACCAAGAGCAGTCACCAGAATACCTGAATTCGGTCACCACCAAATATCCGAAAAATGTTATCTTCAAGACTCAGGAAAAAGCGTGAGCTTCCTGGATCTCCTTGTCTCCCACTTCGGCCACGCAGCTTTAAGAATTCAAATTGAAAATTTTAATATGCTTCCTTGGCAACATCATTTTTCGTAAGAGGTCAGGATGGAGAGGGCATGAGAATTTAGGATGGGCAAGAAATATATCTATTTCTTCATTTTTAAAAAAAAAAAAGGGGGATAGGAAGGCTGTACAAGCAGTTATTCTCCCATCCTGCCCCAACAAAGACAAAGTAAACCTGATTATCAATACGCCGTGATTCGTGGCGCTCTGTGCCCACTACATGCAGTCCACCAGCTGCCACAACCTGCAGCCAATGCGATAATTAGAGATGCATCAAAGTAAATCAAGAAAATCATCCGTTAAGTGACAAGCTCACCTGCTTCCTCTCTTCCTCAGTGTAGACCTTGTATTCTTTAACAACTTCCAGAAAAGCAGCCCGCAGCTTAGCTATGACTTCATCCTGAGCAGGACCCTACATCGATGATAGGATTATGTTTATGCATGATTGAAAACTCATAAATTTGAGTAAGGAAGGAGGGATCACCAATGACCAAAAAATTTGAACAAATTACTGCTCTCCCTAAAATTAAAGATAGCTAACTTTTCGATTTAATCCCCCAATAATTTCCATTTTTCAACCAACCATTTTCTTGGTGGAACAAATGAAGAAGCTATCTCCATGACTTTCACGGATGGAGAGACAGAAATTATTGACAATATATTATTGAGGGAGGGTTATACTTTGAAGGACCAAGTTGAGAAGCTCGTATCTTTAAGGGACAAAAATTGTCATTTATTCTAAATCCATCATCCAGGCTTTCTCGTTTCTAATATTAGCTCGACAGAAATTAATCATCGTCAGATATTGTCACCTTTTCACAAGAACATGATAGGCGCTCCTCTGCTTCAAGCTCTGTCAATGATCTCTGACCCCATGTTTTAACAGCTAATTGCACAGACTCCTCGGCCAACTTGGTATTTTCATCTGATAGTTTGCATGGGAACAACTTCTCGTTCACCTGGAAAATGATATATATTGAGTTGTAGGAACATATTTTAAATTATGGCTTCTCAAAGCAGCATTATTAAGCTGAAGGTGAAAAGTTATAACAAGAAGACGACCAAATTCCATACCTTCCATGTCTTCATGGGAGGAGGTTTCTTTACTGATACAAAGACTCCTTCAGCTGGCTTGACAACTCTGCAATTGTGGTCATATAAAAAATGCAGTGAACCTTTCAAGATGGTAACTGCTAAAATTGCAACGTGGCTGCTCAAGAAGGAAATGTTGCATCATTCTCTAAGAAGGACTAATTACAAGAGTATGACGCCTCTAGTAATAAAATTACCGTGGCATTAGCATCTCACGTAGCTTTAATCTTGCCATAAATTCAGCATTACCACCAAGAATTATATCTGTCCCACGACCAGCCATATTGGTAGCAATTGTCACAGCCTCAAGACGACCACTCTGTGCTACAATTTCTGCTTCTCTCTCGACATTTTCTGGTTTTGCATTAAGAACCTTTAAACAATACATATTTCATTAAAATAATGATATAAAAGGTCATGGGATCAAAATATATGCACGTTCTTTCACATTGGAGAGTGCTAAGTCTATGTTAGCAACACTTGGTTCAACTTTAGTTAGGCAAGAGTTATACGAAAAAACTAATACAAAAGTTACAGTTAAATCAGGTTTCATTTGGAAAATAAGTCTTCTTATGTTTTGACGACTTGTCACAAAAACGAAAGAGACCTCACCTCATGTGGAATTCCAGCTTCTTTTAATTGTTCAGACAAAGAATCGCTCTGTTCAACACTGGTGGTGCCAACAAGTACTGGACGACCAGTTTTGTGCATTCTAGAAATCTCCACAACAACAGCACGCCATTTACCATTTGTTGCCCTAAAAACAACATCAGATTCATCCTGCCAAGGAAATAAAAAGACAACATAAGGAGATATAAGATCAAATAATTTAATATAACAACTTTTACCATGCACACAATCTATGGAAATGAGTTGCAATGGTTCCAAATATTAGTAGTGGATAACTTTTAAGGGATTTCATCCACCCCTCCTTCCTTCTTTGCATGAGTAAAAGAGGGTGGAGGAAGGATTACTACCAAAAGTTTAACTTCACCCGAGCAACCGACAGTGCATAAAGTGCTTCGTATAGACGACAAACAAGAAAATACCTTTCTTATCATAGGCTTATTAGTTGGCACAATTGTAACCTTAAGCTTGTAAATGCTCTCAAATTCTGTGCTCTCGGTTGCTGCTGTACCAGTCATTCCACACAGTTTTGGGAACTGCAAAAGTAAAGATTTACGAGGATTGCAGTAGTAACAAATATAAATAAATTACCAAATGATTATTGGTTCAATCAATCCAGATGTAATATTTTCCAACCTGCAGAAAGAAATTCTGGTAACTAATTGAAGCCAATGTCACAGTTTCATTTTGAATGGGCAGCCCTTCTTTTGCTTCAACTGCTTGGTGAAGTCCGTCACTCCACCTTCTACCCTACCAATCAAGTTTAAAAAAAAAAAAAAAAAACTTGAGCCTTGAGAAACCAGGAGAGTTTTGCTACCGTCTTATAATCTAAACACATAGGTACCCCATTATCTTATTCACCAGCAAGAACAAGCTAAAAAATCAACTTATATGCTCACTGCTTAGATGCTGCACGGAGAGTTCTGACAAATATACCTTATCAAAACAAGCCTAACTATCAGAGACTAATGTTAATCCAAGAAAATTTTGATTATAAAACAAAATACCTGCATAACTCGACCAGTAAACTCATCCACAATTAGAACCTCTTTTCCACGAATTATGTAGTTTACATCTCGAAGAAACAGTTCTTTGGCTTTTATTGCATTTAGGATATACAAAGCCCACTGTTCTCGAGGATCATATAAATCTTTAACACCTAAAATTTCTTCAGCATCTTCATAACCCTGTTCAGTGAGTAACACAGTTTTTTGTTTCTCGTCCACCTACAAGAACAATTAAATAAAAGAAAATTTTGATTACAAATATCCTCTGGCTATAAACACGCATCCACTCTATTTGGCACAAATCAAAATGAATTATAGTCATGACAAAAATTTAACTCGATGCTTGGATTTCATTTACCCACCCATCAAGCAAAATCAAAATGTTGAGTTACTTTTACTGTCCTGAAAAAAATTAAATAACGTACTATGTTTTTGTTCCATGCTAAGCAACATCAAATTACACAAGAACCACCTTGCTAACAGTCTTAAGGTGAGCAGCCAAAATTATCAGCATTACAATACAATTTTATGAGGAAAAGAAACTACAGTAAAGATCAAATTTACAGCTAACACCAGATTAGCATTCCATTCTGCTTATAAAAATCTCTTCCTAATAATCAATTTAACACATTTGGTTTCTAACTCTATCAAACCTATTAAGCAGACCAACTGAATTTTCTTACAGACACAACAACCAAAAAGTGAGCTGAGCATTAACTTGATAAACCTTCATACGATATCAACTATAGATACGATGAATTTCCAAATATAACCATGATTTAGCAGTCTTACAGTGTAATGTATATCTTGTTCAAAGGCTGCTGCTATTTTTGCAGCCTTATAATATCGATCACTGGGTTTCTCTGCAGGTCCTGATATAATGAGAGGAGTTCTAGCTTCGTCAATGAGAATAGAATCAACCTCATCAATGATACAGTAATTAAAGCCCCTTAAGACAAGCTCCTCTACATTCTGCACATTGCACAAAATAAAAATTCAGCATTCATATGAATGAGTTGAATTTAATTATTACCAAGTATATAATAAATGAAGTAAAGGAAGAATCACTTTCCGTGGCAAGGTTGTCCCTTAAATAATCAAAACCAAGCTCGCTATTCGTCACATAAGTTATGTCACATAAGTAATTTTCCTTCCTTTGCTCGCTAGTCATATTCTCTGCCCAAAAAATAAAGCCATGTTATACCACAAAGATATAGGCTCAAAATGCTATCCATAACAATGAAACTCAATGACTAAAGCGAGTAGGGAAGCCCCTAAAAAGCGAAGGCCAAGTCACATCAAGGATGAATGGACTTCTATTGAGATATGTAAACAGAGACAAACAACAAAATCAACTTCTGACGATGAAAAGGACAATAATAATCAACATCGTCCTGACTAAAAATCAGCAAGTTAGATTTTTTAATAAAAGAATATGCAACAAGAAAAGGGGGAAATGAAGAATAAGACATACGCTGGATGAGGCCAACCTTCAATCCAAGAAAGCGAGGAACTTGGCCAACCCACTCACAATCCCGTCGAGCCAGATAATCATTGACAGTAACAACATGAACGCCATTTCCACTTAAAGCATTTAAATAAGCTGGCAAAATAGCAACCAGTGTCTTCCCTTCTCCAGTTCTCATTTCAGCTATTTCTCCCTTATGAAGAACCATGCCACCTATATCACCCAAATTCCAAAAGGCAATAAAATTTCCCTTCAAGGATACATAAAGGGCCCCAAAAAAGAGGCATACAGTCTGCAATTTATACAGCTGCTAAGTTCCTGCTACGAACTTCAGTTACTCTCTCCGGTCCTTTTTACAAGGGCCCATCAACCACCTCACACATCTAAAGGAATTTAGTTAAAATTGGTTGACCTCCTTAAAAATGTCTTAAATTTGAATTTCGTTTCCAAAATTACCCACATCCAATGAAGCTAATTCATTAATTGCTGGTTTTATCCGATCATTTTTAATTATTGCAGACAAAGACGTTTTTTATTAAAAAAGGTTAATGATTTAGACAATGTCGAAACAACTTACATTAAGGAATGAGTAAACATTCAAGAAGGACCCTTATAAGAAGGACCAGAGGAAGTATTTATGACCAAAATGAAGATTTTGATGTTTGCATTAACAACTAACTTCTCATAAAGATTTTGTACCAGAAATTCAGATGACCAGAACTTACTGAGTTATAACTAAATGTAAATTTGCAACAATCACGTAAGATATACCTATCAGTTGGACATCAAAGGGTCGAAGGCCCAGAACCCTCTTTGAAGCCTCTCTCACAACAGCAAATGCCTCCTGCAAAATTATGATTATTATTATTGTGTCACTTTTTCATAGCAACATCATCTGTACCAATAATTATATAATAAACTGAGACTATGGAATAAAAGCTGCAAGCGAACATTTCGGTTTAGGACTGGTTTATCCCATGCTATACCACCATCAATTCCAGGGAATGATGAAAGGCAGCAAATAAAGTGTAACAAATTTTCCACCCTATGCTGCCCCTGTTCCTCCGCAGCAAGTGAAAACATATCAAGTTTCCAATTCTGCCTAAACTACCCTGCAGTCTTACTCCTAGAATTCCAGGAAGGCAAATTTGAGGGTCCGTATACGTCCAGGAAAAGAGGGGAAATCGTTAAAAGAAAAATCATGATTTTCACGCACAGGAAGGAGAGAATCCAAAGTTTCGCCCTGTTGTGCCCGTTCTCTCAATACAAAAGTCTTCTCCCTCAGTTCCGAATCCGACAATGCAGACATCTTCGCTTCCAATCCATTAATGGTGCTAACAGTTGCAGCATACTGTTGCCTGGTCGACTCTCCAGTATCGGAACCTTTAAAAATCCCGCCTAATAAACCTCCCAGCGAAGCCACCACACGCACATACCGCACTCTATTGCTACTGCTCCCCTTAGTCGACGCTTTGGTCCTGGAAACCAACATTCGAAGTTGCTCTGAACCAAGAAAAGGGGAATCTGATAGGCTTTTTTGGCAAGAGCATTTCTGTCTAATCGACGTATTAGAAACAAAAGGTATGGCGGGGTAATGCTTCGCCAAAGGCGAGTTACAAAGCGATGCTGCCATGATTAGCGCCGATTAAGAATGTTAAGTTGAGTGTCCAATTTCTGAAGAAATTTGTCGACTCCCAAGCTCCAATTGTACGTACTTGAACAAGTTCATGCTCTATTGGCTGGACTAGTAAAACCAGCAACAGAGAGTCCTCTGCTTCTTGTGGATATTGGTTAGCAGGTTGCCAATCCAAACGGGATAAGGTAGAAAGCAGATCCTCTGCGTGCAAGTCTATGATAGAAGCATGGAAATGCACCCTCGTTTCGCTGTTCATCGCGGCTGAAGCCTGAATGGCTGAACAATCTAGAACCCATCCAGCAAGCCTTACCTTCATGAGGCCCGGTCCATTTGTGAAAGATGCTAGTTCCTTTCTGGAGTCAATTTCTGTCAAATGAAGAATTGGATTTTTTTCCCCCCGGTAACAAGAATTGAAAATTTGAACGGCAAGAGAAATATTCCCACCAGAGGAAGGAAGGAAAATTAAGTTTAAAAAAAAAAAGCGTCTTCACATTTTCTTTTTGTTTTACTTAATAAGATGCGTTGCATGAAATTTGATATAAATACATTAATTTGTGAATGACATAATCTCGTTGGCAAAAAAAAAAATGAATGACTTATTTTCTTATAGATTATATCTTCATTAAAACAGCAAATAAAGGAATTGGATTTAAGGTGTCTTTCATCGTATGTGATTTAAACCATAAGTCATACTGTTTACAACTGGACAAATTAATGCAAATCATTATAAATTTTATGTGGCACCAGCATTTCGTGGCGAAAAAATTGGTACCAGAGTGAATTAGCTTATATCTTCAATTTTTACAGGCAATATATATATATATATATTCAATTTTTATATTTTCGTTATTAATTATGTAGTTATATTTTCAATAATATTATTAGGAATATATTGTTAGAAATTAACAACAAAATAATATAAAATATATGTATAGTTTTTTCTTTTTTTGGAGAATCCATCAAGATTAAATACTGCAAAAATTCATTTTTGCATGTGCGATTTCTTTTTAAGAAAAAAATTTGGCATGATGCAATGTGCGATTTCAAATTTCAAGTGAGATGTGACAACGAAAAAAAAGATTACAAGTTACATCTGTTTCCACTTAGGCCTTTACAGCTAAAAAATTCGCAAAACACATCCCTAAAATTCTCAAGTGTTACAAGGTTACTCCTCATTTTCTAAAATATTTGTGAATCGATCCTCCATAGGCTGACGTGGCTTAACAAAGCGTTAGACGAAAGCGAGGTAGCCCCTTTATGACGATACATCAGTAGCTAGTTACCTGGAGAACCTTGTCAAGGAGATGCCATGAATCGTCTTAAACCCATCTCATGTGATTCTCCGTTTTACTCGAGCTCTCCAGCGGACGACACGAGAGAGCAGTGCAGAAGAATCAGCAATTTCTGTGACAACCGAAACACCATCAATGGATTGACTGGGGCGCGGACCTAAAGAAGACAAACCAACAGCAACCCGCGCCACGATAGAGCCCTCTCGCTTCTCTCTTTCCCAAAATTCCCTTCGCTTTGATTCCCCGCCTTGCTTCTTCTTTACACCTGTGCCGCCGATCCAGGGGTAGAACCAGAGTGAATCCAGTTCCCTAGTCAATCCATCTGCCAAGATTGGGTTGGAGGCAGGGGTTTCCTTCCCTGTTGAGGCTTCTTAAATTTGATAATTTAATAGAGATTTTGCTATGATGGTACAGATTTTGGTTTCCTCTCCCTTCGTAAACGTCAGTAGCTAAAATTTTACGTGTTGCGTAATTAGCATATATCCTTTTAAATTGTTATCCCAAGAGATGACCAACAAATAAGCTAGACGAGACTTTTTTTTTTTCACACAAAATTATAAGTTCTACAATTGATAACTCATTAAAAAAATTACAACTTCACATATATTTTAATCATATATAGATATATAGATCTTCAGAATATTCAAAAGTTTAACAATAAGCCAAAATTTGAATTAGTCTAGAACATTAATTTCAAGGGTAAGACCCAACATCTAAACCATACCAACTGCATAGGAAATATAAATAAAATTCTCACATGCAAAAATAATCCAATTTTGTGTACCCCCTAAATCCAGAACAGGCACCACTAATGGCATTTCATTTCTTAGGAAGAACCAGGAGTCTAGTAACTTCTGCCCCAGTATGTCCACTTCTTAGCCGGCTTTCCTGATGCAAAGCACTTGGTATCTAAGCCAAAAAGGGGCAAAAGACGTTTTAATTAGCAAGCAATATAAACTACAATTGATTAGAATTTTCTAGTTATGCATATACTACCTCCGATCCTTGATACAAAAACTAATTTAATTTTTATTTTGGTCCTAAATATGAAATCTCAATCCACTTTGTCTCTCATATTTATTTATTTTCCCCCAAACTAGTCTTTGTAGTAGTTGCACATGTTAATATACTTGATTAGCAAAGATATTTTAGAAAACAGCACCTATTTATTATAAATAACTAATTTAACAAACTTCTTTAATATACTCAAATTAATCAACTAATTTTTATATTAAGCACCGGAGGTAGTATTTGCTCATGAAGCAAATATAGTTGCACTATAAGTGACATCACTTAGCCAGCAACAAAAATAAAAAGGGGTAGCTCTGAGTGCCTCCCCATTATTCCCTGAAAATTCAATGGTCAATCCAAACACTTAGCATAAAGAGTAAAGAAATCTCCATTAAGATAATGGGTAGTCAGCAACAATTTTAGCGCTCAAAATATACCAAATCCAACAATATGTATTTGAAGCAAGAAGTGAGGCTGAACCCGTATTTAAGATCAACATCGAAGTCAACAATCAGTTAGAAAATTTCAGAATAATGTGAAGGATCTGAGATTGGTAAATTCCAGTCCTTCTAATCACGGTAGTCAAATTACGAATCCGAAGACATTTCAAATTGTGAGGTTTAGTAACAAAATAGTTTTCTTGAATTCATACAAGCAGGTTTCAACATATAAGATATCAAATGGAAATGCAAGCCAACGCGTGTAGTTAGGATAAGAGGAAGCATTGAAGGATTAATTCATACACAGAAGAAACAATTTATAAATGTTGTGGTTTGAAGTCAATGGCAAATATCCACACAAAGACGGGTGAAAAGAAATGTTACCTTCAGGGAGTTCTGGTTGGTCAAAGGGGGTACAAAGCGTCTTAGCTGCTCCCATCTCACCCTTTGTCCTTGCTTTCACATCTACTTCCACGGGCTGAGAAAAATTTACTGTTAGTAAGGGGAAAAAAACTCCATATACAGACAAAGAAGCACTTCTCATACATTGTTTAATATAAATTTTTATTAATCTTCTCATTTAAAGGAATTATTTGATTTTTTATTTTGGGAAAAAAAAGAGCAAAGAAATGAGCCTGGAGCTGAGATAAAGAAGAGACAAAGGTGATGTTGGTGTCGCGTGGGTTTTTTAATTATTAAATATGACAGCTAGTATGAGAATATTAAAAATTTACAAAGTTATTTTAGTCATAGCACACAGAAGCAGCGCAAATCCTCCTAAAGAACCACCCATTTTGGAGGGGAGGGGAGGGGAGGGGTCCCTGCGCTACAAAATCTCCCATCCAATCATTATGTAAGTGAACGGGAGCATAAATTTTACGAACGAAACAAGTGTTGATAATGCAAAACAAAGTATTGTATTGCAAATGTCGCAAAGATTCAGCATCAAGACATGAAATTAAAAATTAGGACTACTTTCGCACAACCCATACCTCCTCATCACACCAAGGGGCCAAGATCATTTTCCGTTGGCTCAATGCTTCAACAAATTCATCCCAAGTATGTACAACCTGAATGCATGCATCTCGTTTTTGTTTGGCCACATCAAATAGGTTTCGTTGAATATCATGCAGCAAGTCTTTGACTTGCTTGACCAAATCCTCCATGGGTACGTCTATTTTTCCCATATTATCACGTCGAACAGCACGCACCTGTGCATTATCTGAAGATTGTTGATAGTTGTCCATACTGACAAGTGACAGCATAGAAGATACACAAGAGTTTATGCAATGATAAGAAAAGGTTGGTGACCTGCTTATTTGCCAAATCCTTTGGCCCGATTTCAATCCTTAGGGGAACACCTTTCATTTCCCAGTGTGAATACTTCCACCCAGGAGAATAGTTATCTCTAAAGTCTGACTCAGCACGAATACCTGCTTCACATAAAGTATTCACGGTGGCAGCGCAGGCATCAAGAATACCTTGCGTATCAGCATCTTTATAAGGCACTGGAATCACAATGACTTGCACTGATGCTACTTTAGGTGGCAGCACAAGTCCCTTGTCATCCCCATGAACCATCACCATGACCCCAATCTGTGAAAACGAAAAGAAATATAAACACGTTCTGATGTATAGGAGTTCTTGATTGCAGTTATATTATTAAAATCAAAGCTTACAGTTCGAGTGCTATAGGCCCATGAGTTCTGCCAGGCCATTGCTTTCTCTCCCTTCTCATTTTCAAAATTTATCTCAAACATTTTAGCAAAATTTTGCCCAAGACAATGAGAAGTTGCACCTTGTATGCCACGACCAGTGTTCGGAATAAATGCCTAGTATATGGTACATTGCAACTTAGTAAACAAAATTTCACCATTTAAGTAATATTGCTTATCATGCAAGTAAGTCAGATATGTACCTCAACACTAGTGGTGTAAAGTCCACCAGCAAACTTCTCCAGTTCACTTTTCTTACCCTTAAAGACAGGAATTGCTAGATATTCTTCATATATACGCCTATACAATTCCAAGATCTCAAGGACCTGAAACAGAACCAATTTAGTATTTTTTAGAAACAAAAATTTTCAGAAGATGCTTACGAAATCAATTGCTCATGCATTACACGTATGTGAGCATTACTATTAGTAAAAAAAGCTTTTTCTTTGAAAAAATAAAGAACGAAGGTTTAAAATCATTGGTGACAAAAACTTTGCAACAGCGCTCATGATATATAATTAGTGAAACTAAAATTAGCCCTCATTCCCATCAGCTTGACCTAAACTAAATCAATTCATTACCAAATTTAGTTCAGATATATCAATCCCATTAAAAAACAAAAAAAGTATCTTTTATGTTCCACCTCTAGCAATCATAATATTCCATAACAATCAGTTAACCCTAGCAACTCATTAGTGCACATTTCAATCCAATTATTGTGCTAGGTGTATTTGACTATTAAGTTTCCAATGCAGATATAGTTATACAAGCAAAATGCAAACAAGCCTTGTCCTTGATCAAGAAAGTAATATTTATTCATGTTTGCCTTTGCCTATCTATTGTTTACGACATTACCAATCATAAATCTACTACGCTTTAAATGAATGTACAATTTCTCAATTCAACGTTCATTACCACATAAACTACAAATTTATTTGGTAGCATTACAATGTTTATTTTATAAGATTCAAATGAACTAGAAATAAAGCATGGGCATAAGAACTCCAGTTTCATTAACCTCTCGCCCTTAATATGGAGGATGAACCGTTACACTCAAATTTCCCCACCAGTACTCTCCAGGAATTGGACCCAGACGCCAAATATAATCAAAATAAGGGAAAATTATTTAACATTGCTTCAGACTGTATCTTCAAGAATTCAACCCCGATTTCACCATATTTGGCCTAGACTCTGATGAAGTTTATATTAATTATTTAGAACTAGCCCTGTATTTGCTTCATCAATATGCAAAATCTGATGCAGATCACATGCACCATATGCAAAAAAACAAGCTCAAATATAACAAAACCTTGCTACCAAATAATTGACAGAGAAAGAAAGAGAATGTATTATAAGACACACATGTTCAGCTGAAAGAACAAAGGAAATTGTCAGCAATTACTAGAAAGTACCCAAGGAACGAGAAAGGTATTTAAAAAACCCAGAACTTAGTTCTTCTTTAGATAGATTTGGATAAAGGAAAAGTAACAAAATTAATTCAGTTATATAAAACATGAGACCAAAGCAGCAATTCGATATCAAATCTAAGACTGAAGTAATACAAGCATCACACCTCTGCATCTGCCTCCTCCTTTGTTGCGAAAGCAGTATGCCCTTCCTGCCAAAGAAACTCACGGCTCCTGCAACCAAAAGAAGTATTGAGACCAGAAAAACACAATAAACAATTTCTTCGACAAAAATAATCCATGCAAATTTATCTTCGTGATAGCAACTGATTGTGAGAGCAAATTATACAACAAAATGTTTAATTTATCACGTTTCTAATTTTTTTCTGAAGCCTAAGATTCAAAAGAACATCAAGAACTATTGTTTAGCAAAACCACTTCACTATGACCAATTCATTATTTATGAAACTTTCACCATAAGAGAAAAGGATATTCGGATCATGATTAAACGGCACAACAAAGAACATACTGAAGGCTTGAAATTCCAACGAGTCATCTAGTTTATGTTTGAAAGCGCGCATTAATTTCCACATAATAAGGCACCAACTACCTAGCCCATTAAGATGTAGCATGAGAAAAGGAAACAAAGCGGAAGAAGGCTACGCGATACCTGATGAATGGTGTGGGATTACTGAACTCCCATCTAACTACATTGCACCATTGATTAAGTTTCATAGGCAAATCACGATGTCCCCTTATCCACTTGGAGTAGTACGGATACATGACGGTTTCACTTGTTGGACGGATAGCAATAGGAATCTCTAGATCAGTTTCCCCAGACTTTGTCACCCAAGCAACCTGGCAAAAAGCAAAGAGATTATTATTTCCTAGCACCACAAAAATGATTCTGAACTGAAAATATCCTTCTATAAGGCAATCCAATTTCTGCATAAACAAGACGAATTATTCCTAACTTAACAAAACTCAACGACTTTAAATAGACCTTGTACATATCCGTAAAGACAATATCATTTCACCTCTGGTGCAAAGCCCTCAACATGATCCTTCTCCTTTTGCAAAACGCCAGGTGACACAAATAAAGGGAAGTAGCAGTTCTTGACTTTCATCTTCTTTAACTCTGCATCAAAGAAGGCCTGCACATTGATTTTCAAAAGTTTAAACTTTAAAGATAGATGAATCAAAGTAACCTGAAATCTGGAGTGCTAAGAAGATTGTCTTGAAGAAGTCCATTTCCAAGCATAAAGAACCAGAGTTTCTTCAAAAGTTAAATCTACACCTAACAATAGCTTCCTCAAACTATGTGTAACTAATATAAAGTGTAACAATGGAGAATGGAAATGAAAAGAATCTATGAACTCACTTGCATCACCTCCCAGATTGACATTGCCCATGGCCTAAGAATGTAACATCCAGAAATGTCATAGTACTCAATCATTTCTGCATTGACAACTACCTGGAACGTCACATCACCAGAAAATTATTTAGGAAAAGCCTGACAAATATCTTGTCATCGGATTTTGCACCCCATAGCTAAAGTCAACCGACATAAACAACAGTGTGCTTGTTTTGGTCAGATTCAGTTTAGGCAGTAATAACCAGAACTATGGAACTCCAGCAAATATGCAACTATTGCGATTATAATCTCCACAAAATTTTAGGAAAGAAAACTCAGATCAAGATAGATAAGTTTGCCTTAATACATAATCAATCGCCCAACAGAAAACACAGTTGTCGATAATTTGAAAAGGGTACCTCAGAGTACCACTCCCCAAAGTTGTCTGCCTTTCGATTTGAAAGCCCTAAACCTGTCTCCTTCTTCACCTCCTTCTTCTTCCCACCTGTGAAGCCAGTGTTAGGAAACACGAATGATTCACAATTAGGCACCATAATGTGGAAACAAACAAGGCAAGAGACACAAAAAGTAACCACCAGATTGTTTTGCAGTGGCCTTTTTAGCTTCTGTTCCGGCCATCCTGGTGCTCCACCTAAAAGAACAGGAAATTGTAGATCAGGTTTATCAGCCTAGAGATAGTAATACTCGTCAAGATAAAGTATCTGAACCGAGACGTAACCACAATCTCAGTTACCCGTTACAAATATGCCGGAGGGGAAGCAAATGGCGGTCAAGGAAACGAGCGAACACGACTGCAATTGTGGCGTCACTTGTCAATGCCCAGGATGCTCACTTATTCGCTACCCGAATTCGGCGGCTGGATTGAGAATCTACGCGCTCCCCTTTATTTTTCAAGCAGTGACACCCTGTTATTCCGAACTTTAGTATTGGAGTGATTAGAAATATTATTAGGTGCCAGCTCATCTAACCCTCTCCAATAAAATCAGTCCAACTCAGATAAAGTGGGCCATACTCCTCCATGCAAGAATTTCTCCGGTGTCTTTGATAACTTCAAAAGTTCATGCTCCCCCGAGTTCTCCGTCAGAGCTGCTCATTTTTCCCTCTTTTCTCTTGCCGATTCCGATCGTATTGTTTGATTATCCTTTGTAAGGAATCTCGTAATAGAGATTATTATCATTATATAGGGAAAATGATATCTTAATGCAAAATTCAATGTACGATATCATGTGGTAGAATCTTCACAGTCATTTACTTGGTTATGAGTGATGCCAGAACCAGTGCTGGAGGGGGAATTTTAGCGGAACGATGTTTTAATTTTTTTTTTCCGTATTGTACATATATTAATGTTTTAAGTTTTATACAAATTTTATACTACCTCCTGTCCTGTTTATAAGATCTCATTAATAAATTATAAATAAAGTTTTACAATTAGAACCGGAAGTATTACTACGTATGTTTTCAGGTCTCTGTCCTTCTTATAGTTACATCCTGTCTCTAGTTCCAGACCATGCCATTGAATTTGTGTCACGGATAAATTAATTTCTAGCTTATTTCATTACAAGGTGCATAACCTATCTCCCAATATTTATGAAAAATCCGTACTATATATGTATTTTTAATCTTGATTCCTCCCTACTTTGCCCCGGACCAGAAATATTGTAGTTTTTAAATTTGGTTGATATAATCAAATTTGTTCTCATTTAGTTTTGATCCATCAAATTTCAAATAATAAATTTTGCTCTCTCAACAAGTAAAACATTATAAGTTTTTATTAGATTATTAGAACTAATATTTTAAATCAAAAGAAATTTGAGAGACCAAAATCTATTATTTAAAATTTAAGAAACCAAAACCAAAATAAAGTAAATTTAAAGGACCGAAATTTGTATTAATTCTTTTAAATTTGATGACATTTTTTAAATTTAAGGTTATGCAAATTAATAGTATAAATGATGTCAATAATTAATCTATTATTCGCGCATAATTGACAATTTAAAGAATTCATTCGATTGGATTCGTGCCGTTTTACAGACAAATTAACAAATTAATAGACTTGGTCAGTCAATACGAATAGTTTCACTATCCATATCATCCACACAAATCACTGGAAAAAAAAAAATTATGCTCGAGTTCTGCGAATTTAGCTTGCTATACAATTTACTAAGAAGCATCAACATTATGTTTTATATTTTTAAAATTTGATTTTTCTGGTTCTGGGTCCAAAACAAGCTGATGTTCACTCATGTAGGCATAGGCATGTCTGGTAGGCTTTCCTTACAAGCGAGAAAATAAATCGCACCTACGTGATATTTACTAGCTATATTGATTAATACTCATGATTTATTGATATTGATACACACTGGTTTCCTTAATAAACCACATAAAATCTACACTTGAAACTCGCAGGGCTGCACATCCTCTAGTTTAGCTATGCTGAACAATCCTGGCCTCTGCTGTTAAATGAGACGACGTAACGAGCATTTAAGTAATTCAATTTTTGTTAAAAGGAAAAAAGAAACCTTCAATAAAGCTTTAAATATAAATAAACAGAAATCCTTTATTGCTTTATGATAAAAATTGACGTCATAAAAATTAAGGAAAAAAATGAACCTTTTTCCAGTCTTAGTCGCAGCCATTGAGAAAGATTGGTTACAACGGTACAGATGCAATTTGGACTCTGGAGGTGAACAAAATCTTCGGGAGGTGGAGAAGACATGACATTTGAAGATCAACACAACATTTGATAAATCATCTAAACAAAGCTCCTCCTCACCGGCAACAGAGCCAGAAATCATAGAAAACGAAAGGCCTGCTCTGATGGGAAGATGCAGCTCCCAAGATCATCTGGAGGGTAATTGAACCCCATAGGCTACCCAGCAGATCGATCAACTAACTTCTGGTGGTACCACTTTCAAACTTCTCATCCACTCGCAGAAACTAGGATCATCAAAGTGAAGGAAACTGCTTTTTAGCTTCGTCCGTTGCTCTGGTGTCAATGACCTAAGTTGTGGGAATCGTGCCTCCTGAAAAAATTAAAATCATCCCCCATGTATTGACAGAATTGTTATCCTGTTTAATTTAGGTCAATGCCGGATATATATTAACAGGAACTTCCCGGCAGAGCAATCACTGAAACAAACTTTTTCAAGCAATAAACAATTAACATGTTACTTGCCTGCTCATAAGGAGGATCCTTGTGTGCTGGGATGAGACGAGAAACAAAATACCGAGCCTGTGAGCTACCCTCCTGTTTCAAATGTAAATTATCTGTCACAGGTTACCATCCGAGCAGGAGATTAAAAGGGGAGATATGCAGGGAAGAACATGTGAAAACTAACCTTAAATGCGAGGATACGGGGAGCTGGAAAACGCAATTCAGTAAGCTCCTCAGCTAATGTTCGGCAAGCAGCTAATGCAGCGGCACTTCTTCCTTCATCAGCTGCAAGTTCAGCACCCTGAGATACAGCAATTAAAAATTTTAATTTGAAGAGATGTTTAGCTTACAATAATCATGATCGGCATTTTTTGAAGAGTACTAGCATGCAAGCTTAAAGGCATAAGATATTACATTTATTAAAGGGCCGACTAAGGGATTTGTGGTCAAACCAGAGAACTTAATGTATGTTTCAAGTTGACAGCAGCCCTCGCCAGGTGCAGGTTATGCCCTCTACTACCTACTGTTCTTAAACAGAGATAACCAGAAACTAACTTTCTGCTGCACTACGGGTCCAGTCCCCCCAAGGCGCCCCCCCCCCCCAAAAAAAAAAAACCTAAGGGGGAAAACAAAATAAAGAAATAAAAGAAAAAAAAACAAATGAGAAAAGGCAAAAGAGATTATGAGCAGTGAATCTGCAACATCATTGTCCAACTAAAACGTCACTCAGAAACAGTAGGAGAATACTAGGTGGCTTACCAGCCAAATGAAGACATCAGTGCCATGATCAAGAACAACAGCAGCATCAGACTGCATAGCAAGATCATAAGCTGGTAGCTCCTCAAAAGTCCCCCCCTCCCTGTGCATTAAACAGCGAGGAGCAACCATTCGGAGTGATAGATCGAATGATGCATTTAAAAACAGACTTCGTAGCACAGACCTCTCATCCTCATGACCAATGATGCTTCCCAATAGTGGCCCCCTTTTGAGGTGGAAAAGGAGCTCAGGTAAGAGAGATAACTCCTTTGGGAAACGATAAAGTTTTGACTTGGGTAATTGGGAGCCAAATTTCATAGCAATGTCATTGATTCTTTCGTCTACTGTGGCTCGCATGTCAATTGCATCAGAATAGTTTTTTGCACGTAGTAGAGTCCTCTTTGCAATGAGGACTGCTGCCACTTCATCTTGAACACTCTCAAGATATCCTGAAATACTATCTACAGTTGGTAGCCTAACAGTCATCACCCTCGATACATCAGCTTGATAGACATTTGAATACAGAATTGCGAACTGGAAAAACACGCTATCACTTTTGATATCTCCTTTAGTTTCCATGGATATAGAGAAGCTCTGAGTTTCTTCGACACTCAGCATCTGAATATAAAGTGCACTGTCATTTTTAAAGAATTCATGGGTGTCCACATGTGCCTCTTCACCAGGGCCCACAACTTGGGTTATAAGAATATCATCTGAAGTACGTAATTCCAACAAACCATGGGAGCCTGCTGCTCTGGCAGATGCCCTTTGCAAATTAACACCAAAAGCTTCCCCAAAATCATCATGGAGAACCAAAACACCACCTGATGCTTTTGCAAGAGGCTGCAAAATAGGAACTCTGACAGGGCATGTTCCAGCACACAAAATGTCAACCACAGTATTATGACTATGAGCCACACAACCTAGATTTTCCATCCATTTCAATGCTGTCTTTTCCATGTGAGGATAATTAGGGTGACTAAAAGAGTGAGGAACAGATCCAGGGCCATAAGTATTGGGTCCACCGGCACAGACAATAATTCTGCTGTAGCCCCCTGACCTTTTTACTACCCCTCGGGACAGGTCTGCAGAAGGTCCCTGAATTATAGCAAGAGCAACCTCAACAGCAGTACCTAGACACCGATCCCTGGAAGCTTCAGGCATGTTCAGCTTGTATGGCCTCAATGATGAGAAAATGGCATGTGCTACAGGAAGTGAGGCATGCATTGGTGACAAGTATATACCAGTACCATAAATCAATGCTTTCAAAGATTCTTGGGTTGGTGATTTGTCCCCAGGAAGCACATCAGCAGATGCAACTGACTCCTCCGAAAAGTCATAAACTGACACAGTGCGGCCATAGAGTACAATGCCTATCCTTGTTGTAGGGGGCAGTGAATCAACAAAAGCATGCAATGAGCTCTGTAGGTGATGTAGGTGAGGTTCATCTAAGCACTCATCTATCACAAGAACAATTGGTGCAGTCATTCTCGAATCTGAAACTGGAACAAAACCAGGTCTCTTATTCCCAGTTTGCACATAATCAACCATGGGTGATGAAAGTTCTGGAAATCTGCGAAGGTCTTCCTTGCTGGAGGCAACATACTCGCCATCACTTCCATTCAGTTTCCGACATACTACACACTGCCACTGGCCTGATCCAATCAAAATGTTGCAATAAATATTTGCATAAGCTCCACAGCTTTGGCAGCGATGGGGCTCACGTTGAATTACTTGAGGGCCTGTTGGGACTTCCTTTCCAGGAGAGACTAATGCCCCAAAACCTAAACTGGGTACATTTGCTAGTTTTTTCTGCTTCAATACCTACTTGATATATGGAAAAGAAAAGGTCAAAACAAACAAAATGGCTTAAATTTGAGCATGAAAAATCTTAAACTACCTATATCCAATTTTTTTAACCAACACAGCAAAAAAATAACTGTAAAATATGAAATACATGGCAGAATAAATTGCGTTAGATTGTCACACACCAGATGTATATGCTTAAGAACTCATTTATTTCAATACCAAAACCAACTCCTTATTAAAAAGTACAATATACAAAGATATACCTTATGGGCCGAGAAAAGAACAAATGAAGATTCCCCAAAAGGAGCTTGGTCTTCTCTGACGTCGGAAGCTCGGTGCTGCAACTCAAATGATCCATTTGAAAATTGAGGCGACGATGAAGTTGGCAAAGATGAGCCCGAAGATAAAGCAACTGGCTGAGGTGATGCAGGAGATGTGCGAAAAGGGACAGCAGCTGGACGGACAGGTCTAATAAAAACAGGAGGTCCAGGGGGAGTGCTCAAATGCGGAACAGGACTGCCTGTTTTAACACCGTTGGCTGGTGATAACAGGGGTGGGGTCCTCATGGAAGGTGAAGGTGCTTGATCTTGTTGTAATTTGGGAGGAGGAAATCTAGGTGGTGAAGCAAAACTTGGAGGGGGAGGGACAATTGGACTTTTCTCATGGTAAGGATTCTGTCTGTCTGGATTAAAAGGGGAGACACTGGTGGAGGACCCAACATCTGGTTGTGTTGGGCTAGCCATCGGAATTCGGAGTAGCCAGAAACGCAAGAATGCTTACAAACCCAGTATCAAGAATCGACCTTTATCGAAATTTAAAGAATTGTGGCAGCATTAAATTGGGAAGATGATAAGAATCAAGACTGTCAAGAAAATATACGCACCCTCGTCAAGGATCTTGTTTCACACCTTTGAATTTGTCGAAGATGACGAACGAGAGACATCTAAAACCTCCCGATGATCGAACCTTCTCAGAGACAATCTCTGCAGATAGTAATCCAGCAGCCAATTCAACACAAACCGCAATCCTCAACAGTAAATGGCTACATTCACCCAAATAATAATCTAGGGTTTTCACGGTGGATCGAAATTTCCTCTGAATGAATTGATGCATCAATAATGAAATGAGATTTACATACCTGAGAGGGATGTGAAGCTGTTGAGCCGCAGGATTCTTAAAGAAAGAAAATGAGATGATCATGAAAGACCAAGTAACTGATATGTTGACTCTCCTGCGTCTTCATTGCTCTCGAGTCATTCAGTATTTCCCAATCGCCCTCGCTCTGTTTTCACTTGGACAATCATTCACTAGCACCTACGGCAGGACCGTGCCACCTTTTTTAAGCCTGTTATGCTAAACTAGCAGAATCTGCTTAATGAATTTTTTGCTTTTCGTCTTTTCAATAAATATGAAGTATTTTTTGCCAGGCAATAGACATGAAGTTTTAATTTTATATGTGATGAAAAAAACTATTAATCTCTAGCATCTCTATTTTTTAACCTGAATATAGCATCTCGAGTTTAAATTTTAAACCTAAGGGATGAAATTTTTAATTAAGGGATATTTGAATAAAAACCAAACCATTATTTTAAAAGTACTTTTATAATATACAAAATAAATATATAAAAAAATTATCTCATTTTACTAAAAAATACTTTTAAACAGTACTTTTTAATCTTGACAAACACCTCTTTAAGTCAGGTTGGCTGCATAAAAAAAGGATACAAGTTTAACATTTTAAAATTATTTTTTGGGCACGTGATTTTTATTATTTTAAAAATAATTTATTTTGCTTTTTTTCTTACATTAAGAGAATTTGAAACGCAAATCACTCCTTCACTTTAATACCATGATTAAATAAATGGTAAAAAAATGTATCAAAAAAATAAATGGTGACAAATATTAAGAACCAGGATACTACACTATAAAAATTATTGATCTGAATAGTTCGTTTTCAGTTTTCTGGTTTGACACCCTACACCCACGGAAAAATACACGACTATCAATGTTTGAGGAAAATCGCGTCTTCACGCAGACAATGAAATGACGAGCTCACGAAATGGATAATGTGCGCTAAATACTATATTGAAGATTGATTGCCCTGTTAATCTTGTGCTTGGTTTTTCTGCGGATCCGTTTTACACGCTATCTATCTATCTATACATCAAAATGTTGTCTGTGAGGAGAAGAGACACCGTAGAAACCATTATTAAGTAATATTAAATATTTTTAAGAAAAAATAACAAAAAAGACTGCCAAATTAGAAAAATCATACGTAAGGACCGGTTTACAAAAATTGTTGTCAAAACAAATATAAGTTAAACTTTATTAAAGAGGCTTGGTTTTTTTATAAGATAACCTTGACTTTTGTCCAAGTATTTAATGAGTTTTTTCCAATTGTATCCTCATACATTCTCTTTTTTTTTATTCATTTATTACATCTTTTATTTATTTTTTTCATTAATAAAGATATGTTTGGAAAAACAAATATATGCCTTATATATTTATTGTCTTAAATTGGTTTTAACTAGTTTATTGAAAATCATAAATGAATAAAGTTTAATTTATATTCTGAACTGGAGGAAGTACTTTTGTTGTCAAAACACATACTAATGTTGTTATGGGTTCTTATTTGTAATTTTTCTATATCAGCAGGTTTTTTTTACCATTTTCCGTATGTTTAATTAAAAAGGTCTGCAATTGATCTCTTTTTTTTTTTTTTGTGCCATCGTACAATTGATCTGCATTATATGATTAATATAGGAGGTAAATTGGTTAATCTCATTTTAACAATTCACCCTGCACTGAATGGTTATCAATTAGACAACTATGTAACTATCTTAATCAAGAAATGTATTAAGATGAATTCCGTGCAAGGTGAGCACAGGCTGCTCTTCGGCTTCATGCATCTAAATCCGCATGATGAAATTGGACAGCTGATATTTAACTTTTTTTAATATACTGTTCAACAGACACAAAATAAAAATAAAAATAAAGGCTCTATTTGGTATAATTTTTAAAATCACTTATAGACACATTTTACATAAGTTAAGATAAAACTTTTATAACATACTTATCTCGTATATCATAAATCACGATTAAAAAACTATTTATAAGTTATTTTAAATAGTTCTAAAAGCAAATTCATACCAATAAGCAACGTTAGGTCAAAAAAATACCAAGTGAATCTAGGCGGTTCACCACTTGTCTTCCTACACAAAATTTTGGGTGGGGTGATGTAATGTTGCACTCACTTCGGACATAATCAAATGAGAATTTCAAAAAAATATTTTTAAATTTTAAAAATTTTTAATCAGTTTTATTTACTACACTTTATGAACAATTAACACTATTTAAAAAATAAATACTGATTTAGAATTTTAAAATTTTAGAGGTTTTTTTTTAACTTTTCCTAAAATCAAAACTTGATGCATTGGCACCTTCTCTTTTTACAATAGTAATAATTATAAAAACCTGTTACCATCTACAATTAACAGAAAAATACTTTAAAAGGGTAAATAAATATAAAAAAAATAAAATAAATCGGCATCTTATGTTTAAAGATTTGATTGTAGTTTTAACTCATCCCTGTATTTATTATTATTGAAAAGACAAACATGTGACATCACCGAAGCCATTGAGTTGCCGATGCACTGAATCTGGACCCACGGTGATCCACAGGGTCTAAGCTCTAAAACGATTGCCGTGTAACGACAGCATGAGGCTCGTCCAATCTTCGCCTGTTGCCGCCCCCAGCTCCCCCTATATCCGATAGCTTACTAGCTATTGCTAAAGCCCTAGAGTTTGGAGATTTTCCTCATTTGATGGCCACATTACCCAATAAACCCTAAGTTTCTAACGTTGTCGAGGATGGATGAGGACCATCGGAACGACGAGGGCAGTCCAGAAAACCACCGCACCCCTAAAAAACGAAGGCTGTCTGGGTTCATTTCCGAATCCGAAATCCGCGAGGAGTTTTCTCACCATCAGGCAGGTGTTGCCCGAATCAACAACGGCAGCTTCGGAAGCTGCCCTCGCTCCGTTCTCGCTGCTCAAAACAAGTGGCAACTCCGGTTCCTCCAGCAGCCGGACGATTTCTTCTACAACACGCTGCAGAAGGCAATTCTCGAGTCACGGACTTTAATAAAGGATTTAATACATGCTGACGACGTCAACGACGTCTCTCTCGTGGACAATGCGACCACCGCCGCTGCCATCATTCTCCAACGGATTGGTCGTCGGTTTGTTCAGGGTAAGTTTCAGAAGAACGACACTGTTATAATGTTTGACTCTGCTTTCCCAGCTGTCAAAAAATCCATCCAAGCCTACGTTATCCCAGCTGGTGGGTCATTAGTCGAAGTTCGGCTTCCATTTCCAGTTCATTCGAACGAAGAGATAATAACCGAGTTCAAGAAAGGGCTCGAAAGAGGTAAAGCTAACGGAGGAAGAGTTAGGTTGGCAATCCTCGACCATATCACTTCTATGCCGTCTATTGTCCTTCCTGTTCGTGAATTAATCAAAATTTGTAGAGAGCAAGGAGTAGACCAGGTTTTTGTCGATGGAGCTCACGCAATTGGAAGCTTGCATATTGATGTTAACGAAATTGGGGCTGACTTTTATGTCAGTAACTTGTATAAGTGGTTTTTTTCTCCGCCGTCTGTTGCTTTTTTACATTGTAAAAATTCTAGTGCTATTTTTGATTTGCACCACCCTGTGGTTTCGCATGAATATGGGAATGGACTACCGATTGAAAGTGCATGGGTTGGAGCACGGGACTACAGCCCGCAACTTGTGGTGCCATCGATATTAAATTTCGTGAATCGCTTTGAAGGTGGGATTGAGGGAATTATGAAGAGGAACCATGAGGAGGTCGTTAAAATGGGTAGCATGCTGGCTGAATCTTGGGCGACAAATCTTGGGTCACCTCCTGAAATGTGCGCGAGCATGATAATGGTGGGGTTACCCTCTAGACTAGGTGTCACGAGTGACGAGGATGCTTTGAGGCTAAGATCGTATTTGAGGGACTATCATGGTATCGAAGTTCCAATTTATTACCAGGCTCTGAGAAATGGTGAAAGCAACTCCAAGGATAAGGATGGCTATATAACTGGTTATGTCAGGATTTCTCATCAAGTTTATAACTCAGCTGAGGATTATCACAAGCTTAAGAGTGCAATTAATCATCTTCTTGATGATGGAAAAATTTGCAAAATGCTTCCTAAGGAGTAACGACTTAAAAGGGTATGATCTCTCCTCCTTTCATGTTTACCTAGGAAATACTTGTTTGAACTAAGGTCAGCACCAGCTGCAAATTTTATCAATGCACCCATGTTTGTTATTTTCAGTCCTTGAATTTTCTTTAGCGTGCATATATGAAATGAATTTGTTTTTTCCTAAGCGAACATTCATGCTCTCAATCAACCTAACATATTAAATATGTGGACAGCGAACATGTATAATGCACCGGTCTCAGATTTTGATATATTTGAGCACTTCAGCAAGGTTCTATAATTCCGTAGGGGTGATGTTTGGCTGCAGCAATCATTTTGCTCTGTCTCACTGTTAATTAACTCTCCTTCAAGTGTCATATTGTGTTTACAAGGAATTTTGTAGAATTTCTCAGAGCTGTTAAATCAAGAGGAAAAAACGTCTGCAATACTCTAAATGGATCATAATTAAACATATTATAGTTTTTGCGGTGAAAAATGAAAACGTTGTATACTTTTACTTTGCTTTTAGTATATTACTCTTCAGTGCAGATTTGGAGTTCTAGAGTGTATCTTTTGTTTTTATTTATTTACATACAGAAGATTTGACCCCCGCACCATTACCTAGTCCCTCCCGCACCACCTAAGCTAGCCTTAAGGGATTTGAAACAAATGTTTCTAGGAATTATAAAGTCAAAGAGGGAGAGGGCGATGATGGTGAATGTATGTCTATGGTTGTTATATTATTAACATTGAAAAAAAAAAAATAGTGTTAGCCGAGTTAATGAGCAGAACATGATACTAATAGCTTAGGCATATGTTTAGATGAAGAACAAATTAAATTAATTATGTCCAAAAGTAGGCATTGTATATCCATTCACACCCTAGATTGAGCATTTTATCTGAACCGGGGCATTGGAGCCTTCAGCAAAGTCGTTCTTGAGTGAGCTTTATTATTAGCAAAATACTTGTATCAATTTTATTTCCTGATTTGGAAGTCTTTCATGTTGACTTTCCACTATTATATCTTGGCAGGTAAATTCGTTAGATTCTTTATTAAATGGCCTCTAAGTAGATTATGTATACGGCTTCGCAAAGTTGCTGAAAAATAAAACTACTCTACAAGACGCTTCAGGAGAGCTCATGGGTGTTTAGACATTGAGATAGAACTCTGATGTTTTTGAGGGATTGTTTTCTCCTGGTTACTGGCATGGCAGGCATATAAATAACTGAGTTTCTTACTTCTAATTCACTTCAAGTGAGTTTCCATTTCGTTTATTTGCCCCCTCCCTGTGAGTCCTTGGCAATGGCGTCTTGAGAACCTTTTTGGCGAAGGATGTTTTGATGCTAGTTAAGCTGCCGAAGGCCAAATCCGGATATAACTTCTTTGTGATAGGAGTCTGGATATTTTTATCATCTAACCATCCTGTAGAATTCGGTAATTTGTGTTGCAAATAGCTGAGGATATTGAAGATGAGATTATCCTTCTCGGAGTGGTAGTGTATCAATCATTTTTTATAATTTGTGCCATCTTCTCGACGCTCGGGAAGCATCAGTACATTAGTAAAAGGTTAGATACTTTTCCACATGCGGATCCTTTCATGTTGAAAATTTAGTGTTCAAGGTAGTGTGCTTTGCTCTTGGGAAGTTCGAATCGGATTGTTGAATTTTTCCCTGTCCATATTTCTTCAGTTCAAGCTCGCAGGTGTTTTTGTCCTGCTCCTTTTTTTATTTTATTTAAAAAGATAGGCATTAATAACTTGGTATTGCATACGAGATTAAACTTATGAATTACAGTAACACTTTTATACCACTCGACTACAAAATCATTGGTGACTTTCTTCTTTATTGCATGCACATAGGATAGCTGATTCTCTAACTGACTCCTTTCAAACACCAAATTTATCATTGCTAAACTGTCATTCCTCATTTGTGGTGTTTTTCCTTTCCTCTTTATTCTTTTCGTTTTTCAATCAATGCCTTTCTTAGATAATTATATTTGATAAAATGTTAAAATCTATACAAAACCAAATTCTCTTTCATTGTTTCTCCAGCAACCTACAAGTAGTGTCAACGGCTCATAAGCTCATGAAGTATGAAGAATGATTAAGAGTCATGACAATTAATATTTGAATAAATTTTTTACTTTTTCATGGAGTGTAATCTTTATAGGGCCTTCCAATCAGCGCTTTGTATCCTGAAAAATGTTTTTCCTATCTTGAAAAATTATGCAATGAACAATTTTTTCCAAAAAAAATTTATACGTTTTACTGAAAATTAGGAATAAATTAAGGTTCATACGTTTTCATGTTTTATTAATGGGATAATTTAGTTTTTTCATATCCAAACATAATTCTTCATAGAAAGTAAAATCCATGATCCCTTAAAATGCTTAATTCAAAAACCAGTTCTCTTTATCGTTTCACCTTTTTGTTGCAAACCGTCACGGATGACGTCCTCATGTGATTTGCTCTTGGTATTATCCTTCCCACGAAGATCACAATAATATGCACACTGTCGAAAATATTATTGATATTTCTTTCCCCAAAAGATGATATTAATGTCACAGACAAATTCGATCTATTAAGGGAGTGTTTGGATAGAAACCAAACCATGGTTTCAGAAGTGCTTTTACGGATTACGAAGTAAATATGTGGAGGAGGTTACCTCGTTTTGCGGAAAAGTACTTCTGAAACCATGGTTTTGGAGCACCCAAACAGGCCCTAATTTTGATTAGCCAACTTCATAATTTAGTCCCACGTGGAACATTGACAACAAGGGATGGAGAGCCTGTTCTCTCAATCAAAACTAAACAGGCCGTTGGTTTGTTATTTTTTGGACGAAATTTTCCTTTCAAGTAATATTAAGGGTCAAATAAAATAATAAAAGTAACTATCAGGATTGAATCTAATAGAAAGAAACTAATCCTTACAACCTAACAAAGTAAGGTTCAAATTCCCGTTAAGAGAGATGTTAATATTTAGTGTCTAACAGTGTATCAAATATGATTACTTTCAATAAAAAGATAGTTGTGTATAAAAAATAATAATAAAAGTCAGTTCTGAACTTTTAATCCTTTGCATATCCGCAAGAGACTATTAAATAAAAGAATTCAGTTAAAAGCCGTTAATCTTATAAAAGGGGTTTAAATTTAAATGTTACCCCAAAATAACTACTTCTCTGATCTTTAATATAGGATCTAATTATTGAATTGATTTTGGTCCTAAATATAAAATCCATTTCTCATATCTATTAATTTTGTCTAAATTACCCTTATGGATACTCCCACAACTATAATCAAGTAAAAGACGAAAAGAGGATATCAAGAAAGATGATTATGGTGTTTGAGAAAAAACATATCATATATCTCATAATTAACTAACTTACCTAATTTTTTTAATTTAATTAAATTAGTTAAATAGATATTATATTAAGGACAGGAGGAGTTTGATGGTTAAATTAATACTTTTTTTAATCCTCATTCAAGACAAACATTTTGATATTAAAAAAAAAAAGCTGAAACATATTATTAGTCTTTTTAACTTTACACAAAATTTTATTTTAATCCTTTAACTATAAAAAGTAAACTTTTAATCCTCTAATTCTTAAACTATTAACAAAAAATGATGATATTGAACTATTGAATGTTGATAAAATATTATTAAATCCTAATATATTAAGTTTAATTTTTAAAACAACTATAATTGTTACAAAAAAATCATTATTTAAGACTAACAATTTTAAGATTAACCGACTAAAAATATACTTTTAAAAATTAAAGGATCAAATTAAAACATTACATAAGTGTATATTTTAGTCAAAAAGATATTATTAGTCTACAGTTTCATACCATACTTAGAAAAAGAAGAGATACTCTCGGAATCCCTCTTTCTCTTTCTCTCTGTTTTTTTTTAAGAATCTTATCTCTATTGCTGGATCAAATAATAAATGGTTTAGATTGTATACTTTATAAAAATATTATCACAATATTATATAAATATGAGAGAGAAAATAACATCTACTTTTTAAAATACTAACTCTAAACGTTTTGAGATTCTGATAAGAAAATGAAAAAAAAAAAAAAAGATTCTTAGAACACTTTATAATAAAAATCAAGTAAATATTTAACAAGGACTCTTACAAAAAACAATTGGAGGAACTACACGCTTAGTCCTCCATTGGGACTGAATAATACATTTCAAGAGAAATAAAAAGCATCGAATCCAATAGCTACGAAATTGGCCTTCGATAATATTTAGTAAATTGAGGGGTTAAAAAAGTCCAGAGTGAACTGGATCGGGGAAAAAAGAAAAGAAGAAGAAGAAGTAACGGGCAAAAGAAACTCATGATGTGGAAGCGCTCGCATGAAGCTGCACTAAAGAAGCATAAAATCCGTCCTTGATGTTAATCAGGGTCTCATGCCTCCCTTTCTCAACTATGACTCCATTTTTAACCACTGCAATAACGTCTGCATTTTTTATTGTCGATAAACGATGGGCCACAACCACGGTGGTTCTATTCACCATTACTCTATCCAATGCGTCTTGAACTACCCTCTCTGACTCTGCGTCCAATGCACTTGTTGCTTCATCTAATAACAAAATCTTGGGACTTTTAATTATAGCACGTGCGATTGCTACCCTTTGCTTTTGCCCACCTGATAATTGAATTCCCCTTTCTCCCACTACTGTATCATATCCCTGTCATTGAAATTCAAAAAAGGAAAAAAAAAAAAATCAGTGTCGAAGTAAAGTACAGTGGCCTCATGGGAAGAGAAAAATAAGTAAGTGTTTGTTTTTACTTGTTGTAGGCCGCTAATGAACTTATGAGCATTGGCTAGTTCGGCGGCAGCTATGATTTCTCCTTCAGTTGCATTGCCTCCCTTTCCGTAGGCAATATTGGCACGGATGGTGTCATTGAACAATATTGGCTCTTGACTCACAAGACCCATTTGTTGCCTTAACCATTTGAGTTGCAACTTTTGAATCTCTACTCCGTCGAGTGTAATTGAGCCTGAATCAGGATCGTAAAATCTTTGTAATAATGAAATCACCGTCGATTTTCCACTTCCACTTTCACCTACAAGCGCTACGGTCTGCCAAGAGCAAGTTTAATTGGGATACGTGTCATTTCGTTTCATATGGCTGTTGAAAAAGAAATGGGCTTGAGATAGACAAACTGTACCTTTCCAGAGTGTATGGCCAAGTTAAGGTCTCGGAAAATCTGTATATCTGGCCTCGATGGATACTTGAAGCTAATATGACGAAGCTCGATTTCTCCCTTGACGCTATCCAATGTGGCTCCTGACTCGTCGCTCGGATCTATCATCGATTTCCTGTCCATCATTCCAAATATAGAAGCGGCAGCTGACTTGGCTTTGCCAGAATCAGGCGCAAAAGAGCTTGATTGGGAAACTGCTATAGCTGCCATAGTTAAGGCGAAGAAAACCTGCAAACCACGAAAATATTCATGTCTTCAATTTGCGAAAAAGAATGAGTTCGAACACCTAATTTGAAAAAAAATGCACGGAAGAAGTCCTTCATACCCGAAAAACATCTGAGAATGTCGCTTTGCCGTCCTCCACGAGTTTAGCTCCCGCATAAAAGCTGGTTGCATAGACGGCGAAGAGAAGGAAAAACGATACCCCAAATCCTGTTCCGCTGATCAAGCCCTGATGGATCCCTGATTTCATAGGCCCTTCACATTTCTTTCTGTATAGTTCCATCACCTTTTCTTCAGCACAAAAAGAAGCTACTGTTCTTATACTTCCAACAGCATCGGTAGCAACTTGACTTGCTTCCTCGTACATCATCTGTATTCATTTGCATCTAATAAGAAATCAAGAGAAAAATTCTAATATGGCTTACGTGTAGGTAAGTGGGGGGGAAATAAAATATCTCACCTTTGCATCTGCACTGAACCCTTTCATGAATTTCACTTGAACATATCCGTTTACTCCAATCAAGGGAAGCAGTACAAGAATAATAAAAGCTAACTGCCAGCTTGCAATGAAAGCAATTATCAAACCCGCCAGTATTGATGCGAGATTCTCAACCAGTTGTCCCAGAGCATCCCCGACAAGTGCTCGCACAGTTGCTGCGTCTCCTGAGAGCCTTGCTCCAATTACACCACTTGAATGCTCAGGATCATCAAACCAGCCTATCTCCATGTTTACTACCTTCTCAAAGCACATCTGCCTGATGCGTTGGATTAACTTGCATCCCGCAACGCCAAAGAGGTATCCTCGAGCAGGAAGTGCCAACAAAGATGCAATACCAAGTACCACAAACATTAATGCCCAGAATCTGGAATCCTTTTTCATTTCATCAGCTGGCTCGTAGAACGATTTGATTGCACTGGAAATCAAAATGCCAAATATAGGAAGTACGGCGCCATTCACAATGGCAGCTAAAGATCCAAGCAGAAGCACTGGTATCTCTGGCTTGTTGAGGTAAGCAAGGCGGCGGAGTGGAACCTTTGGTGATTGTTCTTTGGTTTCTGGATTTTCAAGTTCGGCTTCAGGATCAGTGGCGTTGACCGCAGTAGGCAAGCCAAAGGCAACTGAAAATGAGTGGCGGCTGCTATTTCCAGCTGATGATCCTCGACTTATGGATCTTCCTAATGACCTTATCTGACTAGAATGCCTTAAGGACTCTGAGGAAAGTTCATGCCTGTTTTCATGATCTACACCATCTCCTGACTCCTTATTTACTTCTTGTAGGCGTATAAGTTGAGAGTATGCTCCTTCAGGATCCTTGAGCAATTCTGTGTGTGTTCCTGATTAATAGGCACATAAAGGTTATTGCAAGAACTACAGACAAAACTGTGATGATCAACGCAAGAAGTGTCCTTTTCTCTCCCTCCCCACTTTTAAGAAAAGAGTAACATTATTGTGATATATTTATAATCATTCAAAGACCCTTTTTTTTTTTTTGGAAAAAAAAGTATAGTAGTGGCTAGGCTTGTATGGCACCTTTCTCGACCATCTTCCCTCTGTGAATCACAGCAATCATGTCGGCATTTTTCACTGTGCTTAAGCGGTGTGCCACAACAACGGTAGTTCTGTTTACCATGATCCTGTCAAGGGCCTCTTGCACAATCCTTTCAGACTCTGCATCAAGTGCACTCGTAGCTTCATCTAGAAGTAGGATTTTTGGATTTTTGAGGATTGCTCTTGCAATGGCAATGCGCTGCTTCTGTCCCCCGGACAACTGAGTTCCATGATCACCGACCATAGTGTCCAATCCCTAGATGCAAGCAGTAAAAGATAAGGTTAAATATATAACAAGTTTGAAGACTTTGAATACACGATTAATTGTTCAAATTGTGGTAATAAAGTAGCCAGAAGATAGTACTTGTGGTAATTTATCAATGAATTTAGCTGCATTTGCAAGTTCAGCTGCAGCTTTTATCTCTTCAGTTGTTGCTCCCTCCTTTCCATAAGCGATGTTATCCTTTATGCTAGATGCAAAAAGGACAGGCTCTTGACTGACAAGTCCAATTTTCCCTCTAATCCATCTGAGTTGGAATTCTTTCAAGTTAATGCCATCTATGAGAACTTCACCGTCCCGCGGATCATAAAATCTTTCTATTAAACTGATGACAGTGGACTTTCCACTTCCGCTTTGTCCAACCAAAGCTGCAGTAGTTCCACTTTGTATTTTAAGAGAGAAGCCATCAAAAATCAGCTCCCCAGGTCTAGCTGGGTAGCTGAAATAAACTTCCTTCAACTCTATTTCCCCTTGAATATCTTCTAATATTTTCCCTTTTTCATCATAAGAATCTATCTCCGGTTTTCTCTCAATGGTCCTGAACATTTTAAACGCTGCAGCTTGGCCTGCCGCAAAAGCACTCAGACATGGGGCTGCTTGACCAAGATTCCTAATAAAAATAACATCCATTTGGAGGAGTAAGAAAAACCAACTCAACTTAAGAGCAAAATAATAGATGATAAAGTCCTAATATCTTACATGGAAGCAGTTAAGACGGCAAAGATCACAGTAATCACTGTACCCCCGTTGTATCCTTTATCCACTATCAACTTTGCACCATACCATATGGCCAAAGCATAGCCACAGAAAATCACGAACATAACTGCCCCAATCCCCGCTCCTGCGACCAAACCTTCCTGAACTCCTGCTCTGTATGCATCCACAAGAAACCTGCTGTAACCAGATACTGCATGTTTCTCTCCCGTGAAGGATGCCACCTGAAAGGAAATATTGAATGTTATATCATCGTCATTTATAGGCAAAGCAGCAACAATTAAGCACATTAAAAGTTGAATTTCTTAGCCATCTGTTCAGTTCTAACTTTTATGAACAGCATACCGTTCTAATTGCGCCAATTGTCTGTTCAACGACGTTTGCAGCTTTTCCATACGCGGTTTGGCCCTGCGATGCCATCCTCCCTATAATCAAGGCCATAGCCGCACCAGACACGACAAGAGGTGGAAGAGTGGATAACATGACAAGACTGAGAAGCCACCCTTTCACAAATGCTACTACAAAACCGCTAATGAATGTTGACATTAGCTGCAGAAATTTTCCAACCTGGGCAAACGAGTGAGCAAGGCTTCAGTAAGTGGGTTGGACAGTATCTGTGGGAACAATAAATCTTGGATGTTACTATTGATATGATACCTTTTCACCCATGGCGTCTTGTATAAGAACAGTGTCGCCTGACATTCTACCGATCACCTCTCCGGTGTTTGTTTCCATATCAAAGAAAGCCACATCTTGTCTTAAAATTGTTTTCAAATACAAACCCCTTATTCTCGCGGCCTGCCTCTCCCCTGTGACCATCCAGCAAGCCACCTCTGAAAATTTAGGAACAATTCTCAAGTTTAGTGTATTTTATTTGTGCGTTCAAATAAGTTGAATCAGTTTCGATGGTAGGCTGTTCTTACGGAGAAAAGCTGCCACTCCACTTCCCACAGCCAAGTACACAAACTTCAGAGAAACCTGCAATTTCATGATAGAAGACCGATCAGAGAGGATCAGATTGATGGAGATTAGCCCCGTAATTCAGACGTACAGTGTTGCCGCTAGTTGTACCTTGGAAATTCTATCGACCATGTCAGCGCTGTCCTGGTTATTTCCGAAGGAGTCAATCATCTCGCCGAACAGCAACGTCATGAGAGGCAAAGCCGCACCATTTCCAATGGCCCCAATGGTGCCAGCAACCATCAACAACATATCTGTAGAGTCGGCAAATGTGAACAACTTTTGAAACGGAACTGTCTCGGCCTTTTCGGTTTGACTCCTATTTTCTCCGTTGGTGCTCGTTCCTGCTTCATTCTTTGATGTGCTTGCTTCGTCTTGGCCATTTTCGGTCCCCATATCAGATTGCTGCCTTCTACCGTGGATCTAAAGAAAAAATTTTGATTCACAAAATAAGACAGCTTAAAATTAACAGGTAACAAATCAGGTCTCACCGAAGTAGAACTAACAGCCTAGTTTTAAGTCTTGGGAAGAATCAAAGGGAGCTAGAACTTGCGTTTGAGCGGATCAAGTTTCAAGAAGCAGCTAATAGTATATTTATAGATTCAGCGGGTCTGCATCCAATTTGAAACAACGGAACAATTAATGTGGACTTTCCGGGAAGTTCCTCATGACTGAATTCGTTCACGATAATTATGTGAAGCGAAGAACAAAGATTTTTCGTGAGGGGCTCTCGGTATTATCCCACAGGGTTGGAAAACAGAGAAAGAATATTTATAGAAAAATAAACAAAACAGTTCTGACCCCTAAAGTCGCCATTTCGCAGGGAATCAATGGAAGAAAACAAGGACGCTAACTAGTAATCGTTTGCTCACCTAACACCACGTCAGGGAATGAGAAGAAATATGTTATCATTGGTTCATTATGAAGGTGATAAATAATTGCAAGTAAGAAGAATGCTGCCCAAGAAACTCCAAAGTTCAAAAGAGACGAAGATGAAATGATTTTGTTTTACGCATTTTAAAGCCGGCAGTTGATAGAACCCGACAAAAGTTAAGGATAACTACCATAAAATTATAACTGAACATGAACAAGCCTGTGTGCTGGAACCCAGAACAGAAAAGATGCGAAGAGAGAAACAGAGAGACGAGGAGCTATTTGAAAATAGTAACCTGAAAGGTGAAGCAACCGGCTTTCTGGGAACTCAGTTCTCTCGTTTGTTCAACCAAGTATGGCTCGTACTGCGTGCTGGTGATTCGGTAAGATTTGTTCCTGCGAATTTTATAAACGATTTGTCGCCTATAATTACTTGTAGGGCAAGCTTGTTGTCTCTTCGAGTTTGACTGCTAGTATTTTAATTTTGAGTAATTAATATAAAAAATAAGGGCCGTGATGCTAACATTATGCTCCGCAGAGCAGATTCCCTTTGGTTCTAGCAGCCCCATTTATTACTGTTCCGATTCTAGATATAAGACTTATATTTACTAGTTATAAGAGTTTTATATTTAGAACCGAAAGAGTATTTACATGACAATCAAACCAGCTCCTCTATTAATATGCTACTTTTATTTTTAATATAGGACCTAATTGTTGAGTTGATTTTAATTCTAAATATAAGACATATTTATCATAAATTTTGGTTTTAAATATAAGATATATTTATCATATTTATCGATTTTTTTCTAAATTATTCCTATAAATACTTCCTCAACCATGATCAAGAAGAATATTAAGGAAGATAATTATGGTACTTTAGAAAAATATGTCGTATTTCTTATAATTAACTAACTTACCTAATCTAATTAAATTAGTTAAACAGGTTTTATATTAAAAATAAGAGAAGTATATTTTTTTTAATAAAAACAGATTATAATTGGTAGCTTCGCTATGAGACATGGGAAAAGGCCCTTCGAGGCGGGATCGTTCTCGTCCCAGGGTACCTGCCGTTATTCTCTGTCAATACAAAGTTACAAACAAGGGGAGAAAAGAAAACGAAAGAAAAGTGCTGCCCACCTTTTATCACTTTAATGGAATTGAAAATTAAAAATTGTCGCTATTCTTATCAGGATGTGTATGTGTTTTGGCTTTTGTTTGCTCTCCAAGCTTTATTATAGGAACGACATGCTGGCCATCTTAGTTCTTCGACTTAGTTCACGGAGAGATAATAACCCTAACCCTAATAAACTTGTCAACTTGATAATCCGTGGTCCCTCACTCGTGTGAACGCTTCACGCTTGCCAAGATTAATGTAATCCAGCTTACGACGGGAGAGCAAGTCACGTGTTTGAATGGCTAACCTCAATTTCAACCTCTTTAATGAAGTTTCGCTTTTCATACAAAAACGATGATATGATAACCCTTTATTCTAGAAACTGAAAGTAGGGGTAGATCTCTGTCAACAGCAATTAAACCTCGCCTCTTATCTCCTTCTTTGAGCTTTGAATTGTTTATTGAATTTCTTTACCCGCCCACTATTAATTCATATATCATACTCCCTTCATTTTAATTACTGTTTCTTCTGTTTTTATTTGCTTATCATTATGTCGCATTTTCATTTTCTTAATTTATTTAAGACACAATTATTACTTGTTTTTAATGGGCATTAAATAGAGGTGTGGTTGGTATTTAAATAACGTGAAGTTAAATGGACAGCAAAATTCCAACCAAAATTTTTTTGTTTTCTCTCTAATTTATGTGTTTTTTTTTTTTGCCATAAAGACACGTAAACAAAGATAAATGTAGTACTCCCTCTGTATAGGATAACATTTTGGAGGGCAGGGTGATCTAGTATACTCCACAAGACAGTTTACAAAATGGCAGGAGTAACTGAAATTTTATTGAAAATATCCTTAACGATCTAATCTATTATGAGACCATGGATCTGCTCCATTTTGGACCTTGGGCGGCATTAGTTCTCTGTGTTTTTGCCATTCTAAATTTCAAATTCAAAACTTCCTCCACTTTACTTTACTTTCATTTGCGCAGCTTCTTTCCTGAAAAAAAAAAAACTGCAGTGCTCCTTTTTTTAAAAAAAAAATGATGCTGTTTTTATTTTACAATGCCTTTTTCGCGTGGAAGTCAGATTTGGATAATTGAACTGATTTGGATCGTTGCCGGGCACCAACTACTCTTTGATACCTTCCGCGAAAGGACGTACAAACAGAGAAAAGAACCGTACCTTAACCTTCCACGTTGCCCAGCTATCTCGTTTAATAATCAAATCTAGTGTGAAAAGCAACCCAAATGAGTAATGAGTTATGTCCAGGTGGGGAGAACCGTATTCGATTCCATGCGTTTGACTCCTGCAGCTGACCCATATCAATGGGAACTTTCCTTTTTAGGTGGGATATTAATATTGATATTATGATAAAAGGCCTTCTTCCCCAAGCACTGCGAACTCCTCCGAGTTTACTTGATAATCACGCATTCCTTCGCTGTTCATCGCGCATGTTCGAAGTTAGAGTGTTGATTTTATTTAGAAATATCCGTCACTCTGACATTATGCCGAGTGTTAATTATTACTCATCTAATTTTTAATATATGACTTAATTGTTGAATTAATTTTGATCATA